AAGGTGTGTTGTATCGGATTATAAATATACACTGTGTTGTGTTGTGTGGCGTAATACACTATGCTGTGCTATGTGGCGTCATACACTGTGCTGTGTTATGTGACATCATATAGAGTATGCTGTGTTGTGTGACGTCATACATGAGTGGTGTGTTGTAACGACATACAACCATAAATAATCGAGCAAAACAAACATTTTACCAAACTACCCTGTGGTTACTCTTAAATGATGGTCAGCCAGTCATTTACATACACAATGTTCGTTTGAGCAATGTGTCTAGAATAGAATAAGGCATATCAGTATGCGTTGATGTTTAGAATGTATTTCTGATTTGAATAGTTACTATGCAAACAATATTTAAAAACTCATAACAGCGAAACGATATCGAATCGTAGACAATGTCCGTGATAGCTTATATAGCCTGCAGTCACGGCATCATAAAATGAAAAGTCAGGACAGATATACGTCTACTACCAAACAAAGAAGATCTATTTTATTTTAAATGACAAAGTAAATACCATTCCCATCATACTGGCACAGCCTCTATAGGAATAGCTACAATAGATATAAATAATTAACAACGAGGACATGGAGAAACAACTCTGCGGTCTATAAACATTTAAACAGTGACAAGACTTTCTTTACAAACTATTTCGATATAACGATAAAAGTAAAACCAAACCACTTATCACCAGACGTTCATATTCAGCGACGAGATCTCGTCTACTCCGATTGTACAGAACTAAGAATCCCTCTACTCACTGTTGTTTTGATATGTATATATATCGATACACACGTAAGGTTTGCCACTGTTTATATATAAGATATATACATCCGACTTACTTCTTGTTTTAAAGATACTAATATACATGTACATAAGCTTATGTACTGTTTTATAAATCAATATATACATCAACTGCAGAAATAAATAAATACATCAGCTGTAGAAATAAATATTAACATTGGGTTTACTTACTTTCTTAAAGATAAATATACTGTTTTATAGACAAATATTTCCTAAACTGATTTTTTAGAAATGGCTACATCAGGTTCACATACTGTTTTATATAGATGTGTATAATAGGCTTACTCAGAGTTTTATAGAGGAATAGTCTGGTTTACAGGTTGATTTATAAATAAATATATGCATCAACTTTACTGTTTTATAGATAAATACATGAACATCCGTCTTACTGTTATATAGATAAATATATATTTCAGGCTTGGACACTGTCTTATAGAAAAAGACATATATCATGAATACAATTTTTTATAGAAAAAAATATACATCATGCGTACTGTTTCACCATTTAAGAAGAAAACAATGTATTTGTACCGATCAATAAACACATTACATGTGCTTACTGATTTATAAATAAATATATATAATGCTTGCTTAACCGTAAAAAAGCAAGACTGAATGTTCATCACATCCTTTATGTTTAAAGTGAAGTAGGCACATATGCCTTAATTACTAGTGTTAAATTTTGATGACAAGTTGTAGTTGTGATTTTATGTAATTTGATCTAACCATGAAGAAGGAAATACCTGTTTGGCTTTTGATTAGTTTTCTACCTTTTTATGATGGTTTACTACCTGTGTACATTTACATACTGTTGTGCTGTTTTTAATATTTTATTTTATTGTTATATGTAGTCAATTAGATTGTGTGGTAAGGGAATATATAGCAAGATATTGTATCTAGAGGTATCTTGCATGTCTTTCAAATAATAATAAAACTTTGCTATCACATCATTTTCTAACCTAACGGTAATTTGTCAATCATGATTGCAATTTCCAACTCAATATAACGGCCATGCGATGTTCAGGAATGTCTCCCCTCAATGGCGTCAACAAAATATAGCTTCTACTCATAACATTTACAAACTACGGCCCGATTTACCAAATAGTAAATCCATTAATGTATGTTAATTTGCTATCATGTTTAAGGACTTCGTACTATAATTAAATATAGCCTGTCATACATTGGTTAATGTATGGATTTTAAGTAAATCGTCATGTATTTTAAACATTTTAATCACTATCAGTACATATAGGTGGCTGTGTTTTAGACACCATTTACATAAATTAACATTGAGATACCATTATGGGTTTTTTCGTTCGTTTATCTATTTATTAAATATAATCTCAATGGTTGGTTAATACAATTGTTGATATAGGTCAACATAGCAAGAAATGGGTCAGCGAATAAATACTTAAAGGGACACTGATAAAAAGCATATAAAATTTCAAAAGGGTAGTTTGCTAAACAGTCCAAGCATTCAAATAGCTAGGGAAGGTCGAATTTAATATCTTTTTATGAAATTAGAGATTTATATGGAGTTCCAATTAACAATTCGGTCAGGTGAAGTGGATAGCAGCATGTCGGTTCCTCCTCTCGATATTTCTGAAAGTATACATAACAATAAAATATTTTGTTTATCTGTTTGTATAATGCTTTTATCGAGAATTTGAACAATGGCATTTTGTGAAAAGTGTACCACAATTCTATAAACAACGTAATATATATATATATTTCTCTCTCATTTGTCGATACCGTTTAACAATATAGTTATACATGTTATGAAATATCGTCTTAGAAATTATCAATACTTATACCGTTGAAATAACGGTATACCACTGCTGAGCTTTGGATATATATATATATACAATGTAAGTAGGGTGAACACATATTTCTCTTGTATAACTGGAATGTTCAATATTGAACGTCTAGGCGTCTGAACTTACCGTATTAAGCCTCGGTCCCAATTCAACACCGACTATGAAGAATATCGATACTGACTGTCAATATTTATTCAACATATATATCAACTGCTTTCGTGTGACAATACACTAGGCATTACAAAAATCCTTATTTAATACCTGAACTTAGTCGGCCTCCATAGAAAGACTTGAGATAAATGCCCCTGGCTTATCGAACGTGTTGACCGCCACTTATTACATTACTGTAGGTCAGTGATGAAAGTAGTCGTACCAACTAACCGATGATGGCCATTTTATTAATTCATATATGGCGTATGCGTTGTTTCAAACTGATCTTTAAGTGCATGGATCTGACAGGTGTGTTGTATTACACATGTTGACGGACAGGTAAAACTGGCTTCCTTAGTTACATCAAACACTTACCTGTATTACCTGTAACACAGAACCTTTAACCTGATAGACAACACACAGTCTAGCGTCAATATACACACGTGTCTTGATTAAAGGTACATGATCTGGGCTTTTACGTCAAATTTTGTCGCATTAAATGAAAATCCCTTCTTTTCAAACTCTTCCATTATTACAAACACCTAAAATGTCCTTGCATCAACTCATTCGTAACTTTATATTAATAGTCAATATTTTCATAATATTTATTAAATAAGACAACACATCCTGGTTTCCGATCCATAATTACTTAAACAAGTAGTAATACCTCTTAAAACATACGTAATATAATGTTTTGATGCACACATTTTAGATAAGATATTAGTAAAGCTAACATAGAATCATCGTTCTTGGTAAAGTTGTATAACCCTTGGCATGTATTTCTTTACCTTTACTTCTGCAGTAAATATATATGTGTTTAAAGGTATTTCGGTCTATTCAAGTGATGAAACAATTGAAAGGTAACTACAAACTAGTCACTGATAAAAGTCGAGCTATTTTGTAACGTCATATAATACTATATATTCTATTTGTTTTTGCACTGTGTACTGTATTTGAAATCTAATTTGCGAACTTTCAAAGATGGTTTTCCTTGGAAACACAGAATACCAATACCCGGTGTCACGGTCTGCATACAGCGAACTACTGAACAGTGAAATAAGCTGTCAAATACTATAGAGACACTTATTATCGATTGCTCTCTCGTAATATTCAGACAGATGGGATATATGTTCGTCTTCTTCGTCCCGTATTCGCCCTTTATATAATGCTTCTTCAAACATTTCTATGGATATAACTTGAACCCAAAATCACAAATCTAACCTGTAAGGTGGAACCAATTCCACTCAATGTATCCTATATGTTATTGATTCTAATGTTGGATACAACTCATGTCGTTATTCACCCTACTGCATTAAACCCCATTACCCTAATGACACATGAAGGTAACTTGTGAATTACAAATGTTAGATTTACATATCCATACATAAATTGTCATGACAAATTAAACTTTTTGCAGTGATTTTATGTCGTTAAACGCTATTGAAACAAATAATTCCATCCTGCAAGAAAAATTGTCAGAATTTTGCGCTGATAATATTTCAATAGATTTCCGTTATGTGAGAGTTTCAAGAAATGACGAGTAACTCTTTGTTGTGGTAAAAGTAAATTAGCTCAACAAAACAATTGCCTCTGAATAATGTATCACATCTTAAAAAACACTAAATGGATAGAACTAAAACAGTGCGAGAGATCAAAATTGGATAATAATATCATATGACACAACTGTTCATTTCAATAGCACAACCATTTACTGAAAATTGAAAATGCAGATATGCATAAAATGAAGAGGAGAAAATCGCTTGCGACCTTTTATAATGCGCCGGACTGTTTATGTCATGTGATTCAAATGTTCACCTTCAAATACAAAACAAAATATTGTATAGTTTGTTAAATTGCAAAGAAAAAGAAAAATAATTGATGTTTTTATTTTTATTTTTATGCCATTACGTTTATGAAGCGTGCTTTAACCGTCCGAACTCGGGAACCGTGATAACTCATTAGTATAATTCGATAGGATTAGTGACCACGCGCCTTTAAAGGAGATTTATTTACATATTATATCAAGTCTTACGGACGATAATGGTTTTAAGAACAAATTATTTCTATATACCCTTCGTACCGTGTGTGTACTAAGAACTTAAGTTTGCCCCATAAACCTATCGACATTACGCCTGGTTTGGTGGAGTTCTCCTCGAGTGCTTTCTGAGATCCCGTTATAATGCACTTACCTCGATTTGTATACGTAAACCCACCGTATGGTATATACCTATATACATTGATTCGAGTCTATCAGATTAGGTAGAAAATAGTATAGCTTAAATGCCTGAAGCTGTCACAATAGACCAGCGCCCAGTGTTTCTGTATATTGACTGTGTTTGGTGTGCGAGTCTTTCATAACAAGACCGGGTATCGCGCGAGCGGGCTGGTGTGCTAGATATGTGACAGTTATTTAGTCTGACATGGTGTTGAGACTTCTACAGTTTTAAATGATAATGTTGTGATACCTTATGCGCATACTGGTGTTCTGGCGTAGGATTATTACAAACGTTTGGACGTTCAGTATTTTCGAAAAAAACACCTGTCTGTAATGTTATTGCGGTGATACTTGATGCGTATTTTGGTGTCATGTACGTTTCGTGATTAATTTATAGAACGGCGTGATACCATAGTGATATCATTACTTTGGTATTCTGGAATATGATAGTTTAATACAAACATTATAGAATTCTATATTTTTGGATGTGATACTCCAATAGTTTTCAAAATGTTGGACCAACCTCAGCGTTGGGCTACTTTGACAAACTTCGGAAATATTCCGAGTATGAAAGAGGCTTTGTTGAGCAGACAACAGTCAGATCGTAGAATATTGAACATGAAGCTAAAACAAAGAGCTTTAACAGGCAAACCACAAAACAAAAGATTTGTATCGTCTGCTTCTACCTTCCAGGGGCGGGAACCACGGCGGTATCCGATGGAGTTCTCTAGGGATGACTCGACAAGAGCGGGGAAACAGCACCAAGCTCTCCGTAAACAGTTAGAACAGCGAGTTCATAGTGCAAAGATAGACAGTGGCAGTCTGAGGCAATACAGTCTTCACTTGTTCGACAGTGTTGTTCAGAATTTCAACAAAAATGATTCAAATAACAAACAAAAACAAAAACCAAAGAAACAACCGTGTATGTCCAATAAGAATGACGATGAAGAAAAAGAGAAGAAAATCATCAGACCACAGACGGCTGTTCACAATGGACCTTCTCACGATGGCAGTCTCCTGTACAACAAACGAGGGAAGGTGTTGAACTCTATAAGACTAAGGCCACAGTCGGAGCCTGTGTGTAGGTATAATCACGAAAAGGGAAAGATCGTACCGCCAGAGATACAGAGGACATTGTGTCAGAGTAACAGTGAATTCCGTGTGCTGACCACACCTATGTCAGTCCATCCTCCGTCCCCAAGATCAAGGTCATCTTCAATTAGCGACTTCAAGCTCGTGCCATTAAATGGAACCGGAAGTGTTTCTGAAATATCCTCAATCCATGATTTCAACACTGATGGGGCTGTCCGTGTAGAACTAAACAGCGAGAATGGGTTTGATGAGATAGACGAGTTAGAGACATCTCGAACCTCGTCACAAATATCCAATGACATTGCTTTTCGAACGAGGAATATGCCCTCAGGTACTGTCCACTTTTACTCACTGGAGTATGAAAGTTCAGTAGAAGAATCAATCCCGGATGTACCAACACTAGCCGAGGTAAAACCACCACCTCCGCCTCCGGAAGAGCCTAAGGCCAAAGCGAAAAAGGGCAAACAAAGGTAAGTAATAAAAATACCCCATGAAAAGTAAATCTACACATTAGTGTGTATGCTTCTTGGTTTTTGAAAACTGTTTTAACTTTGTAATTATTATAAAGCTGTAAGTATTCCGTTTGAACTGGCCTATTTTCTTCTATTCATCTGATGTTTCCATCAGAAATTGCTATTATACGACCGCTATTGATTACCAGTGAACTATGTCGGTTCTACTATACTAACTTGTATAATTTAAATAATTATTGGGTTTTATGCATTTATGCAACCCCCCCCCCCCCCCCCCCCCCCAACCCGTTTCAGCAGTAGTTTAGACCTATCTGGATTCTCACATCTATGGCCCCGTGCATCATCGATGAGACCTAGAAGAACGAAACTGCTGCATAATGCAGTGTAATTCATGTCTGGCATACTGTATGTATTACCGAATTCTAAAGGTGCAGTTACCTGTGTTTGTGTTCATCTAAGTGTTAGCAGTAAATGGTAATTAGAGGCCAAATGTCACATCCATATCGATAACACCTGATAACATAGAACATCGTACTGGCCCCTACAGTGTAAGTATTACCATCGATAACACCTGATAACATAGAACATCGTACTGGCCCCTACATTGTTAGTATTACCATCAGTTGTCTTCCTCAGAGCTCCTTATAGTGCTACACCACCAAACCACGTTCGGACACAAATTGATTGTATATTTGAAATGATTGAATATCAAACCTTATCGAAACATAAAACGTGGAATTGTTTCACACAGACGATTAGTAGATAACTAAAGTGATAGGAAATTTCCAAAACCATATATTGAGGTTATCAAATTTCTATCATAATCAAATAGATTTTTCGGCCACTTATGGTTATAACTCTATGACTTTTGAACAAAACGCTTGCTAACCGTATTCTATGATATTACTCTCCCATAATTGATCCAGAAAAAACAACTCAAAATGTTGTGTTTAAGATCTGCAAATAGCAGAAGACTAAACTTTTGTTTTTTATCGTAGATGTCATTCACATATTTTTTTTACCATATTGTTTATACTTTTTTTCTGCGACTCCTTGGCAAGAATGATGCAGTGACTTGTTATGATCTATGGTATATTTATTAAACAGCCACCAAAAAGTGAGTCCACACGACAAGAGGTATTAGAAGTAAATATACACCGCTTGGTGTATCAAAGATCGTCAAACGTTTTCGTAACCGTGTCACGGAATTTCTTTATTGATATAAACTTATACGACCTTGAAGCTGATCCCAGTCAATGGAGTATAATGTTGTAATAGAATACTGCTTCATACATTGAGTAACGTGACAATATTCAAACACTTCTTCATTACAAAACTCGAGGTATATGATCAAGACTTATCAATTATATTTACGTGAGGCGACCGTAACCTGCAGACATAGTCAGTGTCGATCTCTGTATATATGTGGTGCTATAGGTTTGAAATTGAATATGTATAGAATTTGAATTTTAGATATTTGATTATATCTGTATTCTATAAGATCTCTTTTGAAATGTCACCATTTAAATTATTTCAACTACTTATGAAAAATGACAATTATATATGCCCATTTAAATTTATCAACAGCTGTAGATGGAGTGCACAGTACTGAGGTATAGGGTTTCGGTCTGTTTTCTGAATACACTTTTATGTTACTAATATATAAGTTTTCAATACTAGATCTCTGTAAAATGAATAAAAAAAACGTCCCAAAGTTCTGTATATAGACGACAATCAGCGGACAAATATAGGTTCCTAACTCCCGAAATTAATTTCGTGCAAACTCTTGTCACTTTCAAATAATAAATTAGAAGTAGCGTTACTTTGATGTGTTCTTATCTTTGAATGATACATTTTAACCTCGACTTAAGAACATAAAGAAAAATATAAAAAAAATATCTACGTTAATGTTATTTTTGAAATTATGACATTAACCCTTTTTAAATGTTAAGTTACCTAGGCTAAGAATAGCTTATAACCAAGGTGTCCTCAAACGCACAAAAAAAAACCCTCATTTATCATATCAGGAAACACCCTTTATTACACGTATTTATAATGCAGAGTTGGTTCAGAGACATGCATGATTCACTGTGGATGATAACAAGTTTAGAAAGACACTGACACACGTTAAATCAATCACTGAGCGATACCGATATATTTTAACAGTCCTACCAAGGTCGGTTAACGCCACAAAACGTCCAGTGACATTCAATGTCCCTTTTTAAATTGAAAACTTGTATACCATTTTGTTGTATCCATTATTATTTTAATAACCATCTACATCAGATTAACCTTCAATATATAACTAACAGAAACTGTACAATCATGTGCGTTTAAAAAGACAAATACTTTTCGATTTCGATTGACATGCATCTCCTGTTGCTAAGTGACTCCTAAGAGAGAGTTTAAACTACGTATGTATGTTTCAGTGTCAACGGGTGTGAAGGCTAGAAGTAAGAATTAATCAAGGACGAGTATGGATTAAATACACCACATAATACTAAAAACAACAATCAATCAGAAGGTCTTTCTTGCGGATTGTTTGTCTGAGGACTATCACACTGTTCAGTAAAACCGATTTCTTTTCAATTAACCCTTTACAACTATATAACTTGTAAACCACGGACAGATGTTCATAGTATAAACACATACATGTAGTATGGTTTCGTTTTGTCTTTGCTTCGTTGATAAAATATATAGATCATAGTTATGACATAGCAGATGACATTCGTCCAATTTAACATTTTTTTTAAATATCTAATACTGAGGACACTCACTGTGCCGTGAGAGCATTGGGTACCAATGACCGTGGTCAACTCAACCGTATTACAAGACGTCACTGATATTTAATTTCTTCTCTCTGGATAACAGTTAATGAAGGCTAATTTAAAAAGCTCAACAATGAAAATCGTTTAAAAATCAGGATAAATGAGTCATTTAGAAACCTAATCCCCAGCAGGCTAATTTAATCGATAAAAAGTTCAGCACTATAGGTGGGGGTATTTAAAGGCCGTAGAGTTAAATCACTGCTGGTATTTAAGTACATCAAATGTAGAACAAAACCCAAATAACAAAACTTGATATCTTTTTTGAAGTATCGATTAAATACAGACAACATTTGGTAACACGACATTTTACTCTGTCTAAAATAAACATAAATAAATCACTTGGTAATATCAGCACAGTATGGCGTTACAGGTACAATGACACTGAGTCCTGTATATGATATATACATATATTCACTCCATGTACAGAGGCTGTCGGGGCACAAAATGACCTGCTTCATCTCACTGCATGATCATAAGAAGAAACTTAATCAAGGAACGTCTAATTTAGAATCAGGTAGTATCTTCAATGTATTTGTTTAAATATATCATGCATTCATTGCAATCTTTTGTTTTATCTTAGTCCTAAGTTGAACGTTCGGTTAATTACGGTGTCAATGTTTGTACGCAACTGCTTATTTTCCACTGTGTACAGAATACGACGTTTCATCAAAGAGGCATCTTAACCTGGAACTCGAGTGGCCTTCTTCATGTGACATCAGTTGTTACAAGGGCAAAATCTTTAACCCTTAAACTCACACTATATTCTTATGAAAAATCATCATTGAACAGGCATTATAATTTCCTGTTGTAAGGTTGCTGTTACAAATTAACGTTGGACATATACCTTATTGCCTGCTATTCTTACCTAACTCCATTATTTACATTCTTGAACTATGAATTTTTATGGCAAGACGGTCATAGTGTGAGCATGAGAGGGGCACATGAAAGGAAATACCAGATCTGGACGATGTGAACAATAAGAATAAAATCTCTGTCTGCCTCTAACGAATACTCGCATCGGGTTAAACATTTTTTGTGAAATACCATCTTGGTTAAAAAAACAATCACTTATATAATTGTATTCAAACAATTACTATATGAAATATATTGCCCTTCACAATCATTGAGTTCAATCAAGAACGACTTAGCGATCTCTTTATTAATTAGTCTTAGTTTGGCATGTGTTAACGATTTGTCGTCTAAAATAGATTGTTTATGCAGACCATAAACACGTCTATAGGACCTGTTTACTGTACCCATCAAAGGTATCTTATTATTGTATCTCAGGTGTGGCCAACTATAGACAGGAATATTGTAAGTCGGTCGGCATCTACATACAATACAGGCTGGCAAAACTTAATGTACGTACTAATACACAAAACCCTACGCGTACTTATAAAGTGTTTACTTAGGATATTTATACACAAATCAGTGTAAACGTATTGATAGATTGTATTGTATTGTTAAAAACATATTGTCTGTAATATTTGTACAAAAGGTGACAAAAAAAAAAACGAAAAAATAGTATATGCCATTTTTAGAAGCACTTTGTTTTCAAGATCTAGTACATGTAGTAACGTATCGTATCAAAAGCAACTGTAAAGATTTCAAACGACCAGTATCATATATAAGGTGTTGTTTCTGATGCTTTAGAAAAATAAGACTCTTTTTCACATATAATTCCATCACATGTCTGCAATTTACGTAAGTAGCACCAGCCTTATCGTCGAACATGTGATAAACTATTTACAGTCAAACTTTTTATGATTGAATGCACTTATTTCACCAATTGCGTGACAGATTACATAATGTACTTTTGTTTTGCCCTAAACGACTCACATTGTTAATGGGGTGTTAAACAAAACAAACAGAAAACAAACCACTTAGATTGATATCACTGATGAAATGGTTACATGGAGCAGTAAAGGGTTTCTACATCGTTTTACGATATTTTGACATATGTGCTTTCAAAATTCATATTTTAAGTGATTTAAATCATGGTTATCTACATAATTAGTCGAAAATATATTAAAACCACATGGTTCTTGCTCGACGATCGCAGTAAAGTTTTGGCACGGTTTCTTTATGTTTACCCCGATAAGCTGTCGATGTCATAGGATTCCACAAAGAATGCCAGGGTAATATATTAGCATGCACGTGGTGATAGCCGATCTTATCTCCTGAAATTAAACCGTTAAATCAAACGTGAGGAATTTGTATATACCAATTTGGAATAATTAGGCCTTATATATATTATTGTCAGTATTTGATTTATAAGATACGTTACAAAATCATTTACCAATTTAGATAAATTAAATATCACAAAATCATTGTTTTAAGATTTAAATTAGTTTACGAGAATATAATTATTGTTATTGTAATGAATATAAATTCTGATTGTTTGGTTGAGTGGTGACGTGATTATGCATATTTCTATTTTATTTTTACACTTGCTCTGACATTTTTTGGCCATTTTTTTTCACAAAATGAAGAAAAAAAACAGAATTTGTTTTTCTGTTACCTAATGTACAATTAAGTTATGCTAAAATAATGTGGCACTTCAAGTAAGATTTACAAAGACAAAAATCCAAACATAAAATCGATATAAAAAACGCAATCAGAAAAACTGGATACACCAAAAGAAAAGCAAACACATGACCCTGGTAGTAGATATGTAACCATATTTGTTGTCTGTCGAGATAGAACATAGGTAGGCGAAGTACATTTTGTTGTAAAATATCAAAGACACCGCATTTGCATTAACATGGAATATTGTTAGTCGATTTTAGCATCAGTCATAGAATATAGAACTTCAATTTTAAGGATTGATCACAAAGCAAAGTTTGATGGTTTAGAACCATAGAACACGCAGCACCCAAATAGCTGAATATTTTGAAATATTTTAAAGATCGAAAATTAAATTGAAGTTAAAACGCCAGTTGGATTCAAATTAATTCAACATACACATCATCACAAATGCAAAATTCTCTGTATATGAAATTGATAATTTCTCTGTTTTACATCATCAGTTTCCATTGTAATAAACTTCAATCTCTATTATCTTTTGTCGTGAAAGATAACAAAAATAACTATCAAATAGCTACCCTTGAACATTGTGATCAAAAAGGTCAAAATAAAAATAGATATCTAGAGAAAAAAACAAATTTTCTAACATGCTGTGAGTCAGTAGGGTGATACACATGTGGGAATACACGGAAAGATTTCTGTCAGCGTGGATCAAGGGGCTAGCCATTGTGTTAGATTCAATATTTATTCTGTATATTGGAACTAAATTTAGCACATAATGGATTTACAGTATTTAACATGGACTAATCTCCTCCGACATGAGTATAAAACAGCTTCCTTACATTTGATTAGAGTATCCCCGCCATTGCTGTGACCTGTATTGTTACGGTGCTGTAGACATTGGTAAGGCAGGGACAGTAAACTGTTCGGTCACGAAACAGAAACACATCAAACATCAAATGTTTATAACATAAATAATATTCAATTTAGTAAACATTACGTTTGTAGTGCATTTATCTTCAAATTGTCATGTCAATAAACAGACATATTTTAATCAAACACAGACGTAAGTCAGTCAAGCACGAGGCTAACAAACATACTGTAATCACACGTAGTGCGGCTAATATATATTTTCAAATTCTGTTGGTTAATCTGTCTCTTTTCGAGACATCAGCATGAAACAATTGGCATTACACACACATACACAAGTAAAATACAAAACAGACCAATGCAAATAATCACATAGCCACAATTACAATACTGTTGAGCGGAAGAGTAACCATTTGTATATAATGCAGAATCCATCTTTGGCAGAATGAGATAAACCGATAGAGACCTTGGTACACGACACAAATATAGGCTATGGGGCCATGGTTTGGATTTACAGGAGGATTTTTGTTCTTTCAAACAAAGTAATAATATATGAATTGCATAACAAAGTAATCCGAATCTGATAATAGTACTGACCGTGTATAAAACCTGTGTTAATACACGGTACGCCGCCTTTACACCAATTCGTTAAAGTACTGGTCAAGTATGGTGCATTTAGGATTACATTATTTACACACAAAACATGGTAACGATCTTGTTTATAATATAGCAATATGAATAACATTGTCAAAAAAGCTGTTTAAATTCTTGACAATCCAACTTAATCTGAACGTTTTGTTTAACTAGCTAGGGGATTGAAACAGTGGCGATACATGTGTGTTGCATACCATTGTGAAAGACATTATATTTTAGTTTAAACAGTATGTATTAAATAATTGCATAAAACAATTCCAGAGAAAACGAAAAACAAGTTCAAATCGTTGATATTATCAATATTTGGTGTTTGGCGATTCCATTTGCAAATAAAGTCACTCTAAAATACGAAATAACAGAACTCTGCTGTTACAACAAAGGACTTTCGTGGACCGAAATGACAATTATTACTATTACTACATAAAGTTTATACGACTTCTTTTGCGGTTCAATATGTGTAGTCTTAATCGTTGGGGTCTAGAGACCTGCCATATCAGGAGCGGCTTAAAAGACTAAACTTCCCTGCTTTGAGCTTCAGACGTGCAAGAGTTGATGTTATATTTAAGATAACGAGTGGTGTTTATGATCGAAAAGCGTCGGATTTCCTTAAATTGACAGACTTTTCCGAAAGGCATTTTGCCATGGGGCATTCCAAAATATCTCTATACACGGCATTCAAGCCTTTAAATGATGAAGAACCCTTTTTCTCTCCGAGAAGTAAATTTATGGAAGTCTTCCAGCGGATGTGATAGCGGCACCATCAATAAATAAATTTAAAAACAGAACACAGGATGTCCATGACCGAACGTTCATATAGGTGTTTCATGTATGTTTTTGGAACACATGTTTAGGTCCAATGTAAAGGATCATAAAGATCCTGGATCGGGAAATTAACTTAACTTTGTCATCTGATTAATATTTAATTAATTGGTCTTGGGACTAAGTGAAGAACTTAATGTTCTTTGGCAGGTGAACATACACTAGAAACATGTTCAAGCTCAAATGTGCAGTCATCGTGCACGGTGTATTACAAGTATTGTGGATCTTTTACTTAAATGTTTTCCTTTTTCTCAGGTTGAAATTTCTAGCAAAGTCCATGTAAGTAGTACTAAGTGTTGGTTGAGAGCACCTTAACAACCAAGAGCGTGTCATGGTAATGTGAAACTCAGTCCTTTTTTCAAGTACCCTACCTCCGTTTCCATAGTTACGTATGTAACACAAAAGTGACGTGTGGTGTACATGTATATAAAGTTCCATTGTACGACCTCTGTTTCCATAGTTACGTGTGTAACACAAAAGTGATGTGTGGTGTATATAAAGTTCCATTGTACGACCTCTGTTTCCATAGTTACGTGTGTAACACAAAAGCGATGTGTGGTGTATATAAAGTTCCATTGTACGACCTCTGTTTCCTTAGTTACCTATGTAACACAAACGTGATGTGTGGTATATATAAAGTTCCATTGTACGACCTCTGTTTCCATAGTTACGTATGTAACACAAAAGTGATGTGTGGTGTATATAAAGTTCCATTGTACGACCTCTGTTTCCTTAGTTATGGATAACATGTGTTGTTTCGTAGTGGTGTCCAAACATGTGTTTACATAACAATGCACGTGCATTTCCTTATATGGAATGTCCTATTAATACCATCCAAACATGTGTCTTACATTGCGTTTTATGTACCTGCACTTAAAACATATAAATGTGTGTGAAATAGTACATGCAGTGTACGTACGTTTCAAAACGGGGAAAAAATAGGAAAATGCATGGGTGTGTGCCCTGGAGTGCGGATAACCAGTCTGGATCCACCGGGTAGAGATTATCTTTATTTACAACATGTATGTACCTGTACGTAGCATCTCATCCATTTTCGTTTATCTGACCTACACAATGCTATCTCTATAATTATTATACAGTATAGCACTGGACACCACGCCTTAATGGTTGTCATCATTTCTCCTTTCATCTCGTATCACGTGTGCGTATTCAGTTTCATAACCAATATTTCCACGTCAATCACAACGTTGACGACGTAACAAGTGGATTGTGTTGCACCTGCCAATGACATTAGCCTTCGCACCTGTTTGTGAGTGTTACGGATCGGAAGATTTCTCAATAACACCACACTGAACAAACACTGTTCACAAAGGCCAAAAGACCGACCCAAAAACAACCACCACCACGTTCACCAAACACAGGCGGTTGTGAACCAAAATGTTTTTATCACGTGTTTTACTGAATTGAATTTGCCCCAAAACACAATGATTTATTACACAAACTATTATGTCGACTGTAATTGGTGAAGCCTTGTGTATTCGGTCTCCTTCACGATCAGGAGTACTATTCCTGTTTTTGACAGGGAACACTATGCAAATTGCTATTGTATACCGACGTAGATCCCTCGGGTACATATTATGTATACCATAGACGTCTGAGGATTAACCCTCATGTCCAAAAAAGGGCTTTTCTGTACAAAGACTTTGTTATCCCTTATTGTTAACGTATTGTTATCCAGATAATGTAATACAAAAATTACACCTGTTACACTTTGGTGACAGGTTTAGTTGATGCTAGGTACATGTTTTACGCCAGGTGTTAATCTACAGATAGGGAATATTACCGTAGTTCACTTTGTCAGTATTCTACAGAAACAGGTATGGAGCTTACTGTCTATGGTATGAATGTTTTACCTTGATAATCTATGTTACTTTTATCAACAATAATCGATTGCTCGAACATTCATTCTGACGCCAAAAGTGTCTAGATCGACAAGGATTTTCTCTCGATAGAAGTATTTTAAACTGTTACATGTAGAAAGAATACATCGTGTTGAGACTTATTCAATATGATTGAAAAAAATCTTGTTTCGCATTCGCCTGTGCTACCATAAACTATTTACTAGGTATATCTGTGGACGGCTTATGTTAGTCGACCAGTCTATAACAAAGCAGTTTATCTATGTAATCGATTAGTAGTTAAACTGTCGTAGATACACAGTCCGATAATGGCGTACATTGTCATGTCGCGGTACAACATACAGGAAACAGGTCTCTTCATAGGTAATACAAATATTAATGTTTTTACAAACCCAATATTGATATAAACCGGGTGTTTACTTGAGAACCTTGGTGTTAGTTTATGTACTGATAACATAGGAAACATCCGTATCGATTAGACACACTGCAATGTTTTGACAATATCCGTTGCTTAACGATTTAACCGAGAGGTACAGTTTTAATGCATATTTAGGTGTGAATGTAAATAAACTGTTTGAGATCTACTTTCCTTAAAATGATTCGGCCTAAAAACGAAACCATTGGTAACGACGCGATCGTGTTCTGTCGAAAATGTGTTTCGCTGTAGTAGAATAAATGAAATTAATGACAATATCTTTTTGTGACAACTAATGTGAGGTCAATGTGCTTTATTTTGTCAGGGCAAGTGCCAAAAAGAAGAAGGAAGCGGAACCCTCTCCTCCTCCTCCACCGGAACCGGTAGTAGTCAAGGAACCGGAAGTCAAAAAACCCTTGAGAGGACCTAAGTGTTGGGTAGATGACGCAACTGTGACAAGCGAATGTGACGATAAGGCTGAAAATGAGCAGACGACAACAACGGACGGCAACCGTCCAGTCTCTGCAGCCAAATCAATCCTGGAAAAACGTGCGACGGACACTCCAGAACCGATAAATAACGCCGTAGTGCAGCAGGATCAGGCGGAACATGCTGCACTAATTGACTCCGATGTAGAGGGCGCTGACGAAGGCCCTTCTTACTTACCAAAGTTTTTATGCCCAAGTTCCGTCCGGAAATCTAAGCACGCCGCTGTCAAAGACTGGTTAGCTACTACGAACTTCAGCCGCGCTGATAGGTCGGTCCCATTATTATGATGCCTGTCCCGATATTGATAGTGAATTGTAGATTCCGTTATAATGTTAGCATGTCGTACTCCTGAGAACATCTGTCTAAATCAGCGAGTCGAACTCAAATGTGTGTTTCATTATTATGGTAGCGAGTTGCACATCGTATTAAAGACTGCAAACGTACATGGACGTTATTATGGTAGCGAGTCGTGCTCAAGGCCGGATTACATTAAAAGTTATGGTGGCGAGCTTTACTCGAGGTTTTTTTCAAAAACTTTATTACGGTGAATTTGTTCCAAGGTGCATGTTGCCATCAAAGACATGATCGCAATAATAATTAAGGTCATAACGTTACCCATTTCTACTGTAGTTGGGTATATTTGTTTTGACAATATCTCACTTAGGTTAAAAATATACATGTAATACGAAAAGCATTTTTTCGCATGCTTGAGAAAAAAAATTGTAAACTGCAATAAAATTCATGTTATCTTAACGAAAGTCTGTATCTTTTATTAAGATTTACAAAGCATGGCGTTGTTTTCACTTGCATGAGAACTATTTTCATATGAATGTATAATGCAGGTCTTAGAGCGTTAATTTTAAATATCTGTTATTTCTTCCATATTCATACACGGAAAATTAAAGGTTACATACTGTATGCCTTTTCGTGGATTTTCATTAGAAATTATTCCCAGTAACAACTCAGAAAAGCCTAAACATACAGTAACAAAACCATGACCGGTAGCACAATTATTAATGGGCACAGGGATCAAAACCCCGTAGCGGAGCAAAGACGCTTTCGACAAAAGAAGAATTACAATAAAATTAATTTCTGATGTACATTGTACATAACTATTTTCTGTTGTAAATGGGCAAGCAACTCCAAGTCAGAGCACCAAACAAATCAGAACTCTTCTTCGCTTGAGATCAACAGGTAATATAACGTTGAAATGACAACAATAAAAAGATGAAGTTTAAAACAACCGTATGTAATGGGACGAGGAATAGTGATAAAGATAGTGCCGTCGCTGGGGCTCGAACCCGCGACCCTTGGCTCTCCAGCCCGATGCTCTACCGCTGAGCTAAAGGGGAATTCCCAACAGGTGACGCGTGTAAGGCAACCTAATACACATCCTTTACACTATTCCCCCCTTTTTTCTGACACAAACCCAGGTTCTTCGACTCCCCGCCAAGGGTTCTCCTATCTTGAACGGAGAGGGTCAACGGCACCAGTTTGTAATAGGACGAGGAATAGTGATAAAGATAGTGTCGTCGCTGGGGCTAAAGGGAATTCCCTACAGCTGACGCGTGTAAGGCAACCTAATCAATGCACATATTTTACACGTATATAGCATGAGTATCAATCTTTGGTTCTGTGCGATAACTACATGTTTTATTTTCATTCAATTCCCGTTCGAACTAAACATGATACATTTGTATAGGGACCATGTGACATAGGCGTTTCGCATGGATATAAGGGAAATAACTCTTATTTCTGAATACTGTCATCACAACGTTATATTAAACTGACTACATCTACAGGGGCAGCGTGGACATTTCATCTTTAGGTTCATTCCAGTTTAGATGGCTCGTTAAGTTGATTTTTAATAAGTTAACTTGATTTTAAACTAGTAGAGTTGCCCATATCTCAGTACAAATACAAACAAATACATTGTATAACACAAAGGACAGAGGGAATTAGACAGAAAGTAAAGTGATACATATATAACAAATACAAGACAAAGTTAGGGGTAAGAGAAAGACAGGAAAATAAATAAGATGTAGATACTATAAAACCTCTATACATACTATGGCAAAGGAGAAAAGGGTATAGGGCAAAGAGGAATTCCACTAAGTTGATTTATTGAGGATTTTGTCTATAAAACTTGCACAGCCAATGATAAAAACGGAAGTAATTATAGGTGTTCAGATAAGATAAGCGTTTCATACGACACATGAGGCACCGGCCTGACATCTCCCGTGAACCCCAGGAAAGTGTGTCGGTCACCACCGATCTACGACAGAGCGAACAAGTCATTAATTGAATTCAGGGCATGCATGGTGACAAGTGTTTAATTTCTTCAACGTAAATTGAAGCCTTTGAGGCTGAAAAGTCCCCGTAAGATGCATTTACAAAGAAAATGCTTAGAGCAGGCCTCGGTTTCACGAACTTTCCTTCATTTAATCGTTTATTTCTTCATTAAAAAAATTGCTAAGAGTTCCAGGTATTTTTTCTGGACTTGAGTTTTCCCGTAACTACAGCAATGCTTTCGAAAGGGGAAAAAACAGAGTAATTTCCTTAAACTAAGGAACTTCTGTGAAGCAGGGGTCGGGCATTGGAGTTAACGAACCTGTACAACTGTAAATACGTAGAGAGACCTGTTCACGTGATTCCAGGAGGAATGCATCTAATATAACTTACTGTTATTGTAACTAACGTTAATGCAAACAAAATAACAATAACCGTACTCATTAATATATGATTTTATATACAACTCCACACCAACATGTTGAAACTCGACAGGTACCATACATGTATTACGAATGGCATATAATAAAATGCACACTAACAGACATTTAAACACAACAATCCTTGACGCAATGTATATTATTGTCGGCACCATAGGCTGTTAGGTATCTTAAACTCATTGTGTTTTACTTCCCATTGTGATACAGTTCCGTTCAAACATACATCAAAGTCGCGATACCACACAACAAGGCTATTTACCTGGATGGACCTGTACTGTGTTACATACAAACAATGTTTCATTTCAAACCTTGATAAACATTAAATTGGTGAATATGTCAACCAAATATATAAAAATTCTCCCACACGTTGGTTTTCTAATGTACCGCACTCCTTGCACAACGGAGACATATATATATTTTTAAGCCTTGTATCAAAATAGATTGTTGCTATGCCAAAGTGGCAAACGGACTAGCGAATCTGTAACAAAATACAGGTGTAGATAATAAACAAAACATAGGACCTTAAATGCTGGACCAGGTAACTTATCTGAACAACTTCCTCTCTGCAGGATACCAGGTAAACATCAATACCGTACAGTTATTGATTAGTCGTTTAAGGAGAAGGCGAACATGACAACAAACAGAAGTAGAAGACACACCGTACAAGTCCACAGAAAGTCCTGCCAGGTGAGATGAAATATGTGTACTAAACAGAGAACAGATTGTCAATGCATTTTTTTTAAAATACCCTCTGGTCACATTTTTACACGCACTTCAAATATCTATTTCGCAAGTTTTATTTCCAGAGAGGAACAATAATAAAGTGTATATTGCTTATACGTTGCACACACATGAGAATTCACACAAGTTTATCTAATAAACAGAAGTGTGAAAGTTTGACCAAGAAAATTTGAAATCACAGTCGATTTAAACAAAAGGATAAAAATGTACAAATGTGTCTCGAGGTTAATGTAGTGACTAGTAGGATAGTGTATGCATCACTCCTCATGTTACCTCACCTTTTACATTATAATCATCACCAGTTAATGTCATCGCCATTTCGACAGGAAACATTTGACGTCGTGTAAAATCATTGCTGCCATTTTTCAACGTAATAATAAAACCGTAATTAGATTTTAATTGCATTGACTTCAAAATATGCTTTGTTTCATACAGAAAATGACAAGACATAAGGTGATAAGGTCAGTTAACATGTATGATAGATTACAAGAGTAAGTCAAGTCTGTATCTGAACCCGAGGTAGACATCCTCGTACACGTTAGTGGAGTAGGAATATTCTGGAGAAAAAGTTACTGGAGCTTTGTAAATACTACTACTATGTAATGAGAAACCTTGAAAATATGTAATCTACAAATTAAATGTGACAACAGTGTGTTTTAGAACATATTTTATAACATTTCTAGACAGCAGTGTGTTTTTAACAATTAAACACATTTAACATTTGGAAATTCAGTCTAGAAAAACAGTAAAAACCTGTATTAAAGAGAACCATGCACCAATATTTCCCTCTTATATACAATACAAGTAAGTCTCCAGATAATATTTTTAACAAACCCAAAAGGGGCGTGGCACAGATCCCCTCACCCCACGGTCTGTATGTATGTGTATCATGTATACGGACCGTGGGGCAGATCTGTACATGCCCCTTTGATAAAGTTATATATCAACACTGCACACAGACAACACTTCTATTTCAAATTTTATAAAATAACTCAGCAGAATCTCCTATAAAATGACTGAGAGTACTTTTTAAACAGCACTGTTTTGGTACTGTATAACAGCACTGTTTGGTACTGTATAACTGCACTGTTTTGGTACTGTACATGTATAACAGCACTGTTTTGGTACTGTATAACAGCACTGTTTGGTACTATATAACAGCACTGTATTGGTACTGTATAACAGCACTGCTTTTGTACTGTATAACAGCACTGTTTGGTACTGTATAACAGCACTGTTTGGTACTGTATAACAGCCCTGTTTTGGTACTGTTTAACAGCACTGTTTTGGTACTTTATAACAGCACTGCTTTTGTACTCTATAACAGCACTGTTTTGGTATTGTATAACAGCACTGTTTGGTTCTGTATAACAGCACTGTTTGGTGCTGTATAAAAGCAGTGTTTGGTACTGTATAACAGCCTTGTTTGGTACTGTATAACAGCACTATTTGGTACTGTATAACAGCACGGTTTGGTGCTGTATAACAGCACTGTTTTGTACTGTATAACTGCACTGTTTGGTACTGTATAACAGCCTTGTTTGGTACTGTATAACAGCTCTGTTTTGGTACTGTATAACAGCCCTGTTTTGGTCCTGTATAACAGCACTGTTTTGGGACTGTATAACAGCACTGTTGGGTACTGTATAACAGCACTGCTTTTGTACTGTATAAGGGGACTGTTTGGTACTGTATAACAGAACTGTTTTGGTACTGTATAACGGCACTGTTTGGTACTGTATAACGGCACTGTTTTGGTACTGTATAGAACTGTTTGGTACTGTATACCAGCACTGTTTGGTACTGTATTACTGCACTGTTTGGTACTGTATAAGAGCACTGTTTTGGTACTGTATAACGGCACTGTTTGGTACTGTATAACGGCACTGTTTGGTACTGTATAACGGCACTGTTTTGGTACTGTATAGCACTGTTTGGTACTGTATATCAGCGCTGTTTGGTACTGTATAACATCACTGTTTTGGTACTGTATAACGGCACTGTTTTGGTACTGTATAACGGCACTGTTTGGTACTGTATAAGAGCACTGTTTTGGTACTGTATAAAAGCACTGTTTGGTACTGTATAAGAGCACTGTTTTGGTACTGTATAGCACTGTTTGGTACTGTATATCAGCACTGTTTGGTACTGTATTACTGCACTGTTTGGTACTGTATAACGGCACTGTTTTGGTACTGTATAAAAGCACTGTTTTGGTAATGTATAGTACTGTTTGTTACTGTATAACAGCATTGTTTTGTACTGTATAACAGCTCTGTTTTGGTACTGTACATGTATAACAGCACTGTTTTAGTACTGTATAACAGCACTGTATAACAGCACTGTTTTGTACTGTATAACTGCACTGTTTGGTACTGTATAACGGCACTGTTTTGGTACTGTATAGAACTGTTTGGTACTGTATACCAGCACTGTTTTGGTACTGTATAACGGCACTGTTTTGGTACTGTATAGCACTGTTTGGTACTGTATAAGAGCACTGTTTTGGTACTGTATAGCTCTGTTTGGTACTGTATAACAGCACTGTTTGGTACTGTATAACAGCACAGGAAAGAGAGATCATATTTCTTACATACTTTTTATAAAAATATACATTGTCCCAAGAATTTGATCAAAAACATTTCAGCTGTTAAATGTTCTAAATGGCTTGTTATCATTACCATAGTATTCAAATACATTTTAATGTCTGAATTTTGTACACAGGAACAATACCTTGATATCTATCCAATACAAAATTAAATATATATTTTTAATGATATGTATTTTTTTAACAAATTAAAACAAATCTTCTGGGCAAGTTTCATCAATCGCTGATATATAATTGTAATGTATTAGATATCACTTTTATCACATAAGTAAAATATGTATTCAATGTATTAAAAAAAATACCGATCCATATATTCCATCTAAAAACTGATGACAAAAGTCGATGAATTTTAATATCAAATTAGAAAATGTGTCACGTTTGGTCCCCAGATTTTTCTTCTTGCTGGTAGGCCCAATGTGTAATTTAAATATTTCACATGCTACACCACAAAAAATGTTAGCATAACACAGGAATGTGATGGCTTCTTTTTCAAAATATCACACATGGTCCATTATAAAGTCATTCATCTCTCTCTCTAAACAAATTGCAATGCTATTATATACTGACCGGCAAAATTAAGTATACACTTTATAAAAATGCATCAAATCATTTTATTTCATCATGATAAAGTCAATTTTAAATCGTAAATATACACTATCAGGAATGCCGTCAAGTACCAAAAAGGCATACAGTCTTACAGAACAAAGTAAGGGTCATTTAATTTTTCATGTGATTTTGATGTCACAACTGTACACAGTTAAAATACACTTGTGACGTCAATATCTTGTGTGTCCGTCATTCCTATTAGCTTCTACCCATAGCGTTTTCTCAAGGACAACGCTAACTGTCGTTTTGATTCGATGCTATTCATGGATTAAGGATGCCTTGATCCAGACATGGCACTATTTCACATCGACGTCCCGCTCCAGAGAGTTGGTTGACATGTCCTACTCGTTGATAACACTTCAAAAGGCACTTAATCGTAAACCTTGTACAATTTATCACATGTGCCACAATACGTTGTGTTGTCCTGGCTTGTAGCATCCCAATCGCACGATTTCCACCCACTACTGAAGGGCTAGCCATAATGCTGACACATTAAAACCTAACGGCCTTTGAAAGGGAAGCTTACCGAGGGCACCTTGTGCAATTTGCATGCGCTCAGGGTATAAAATGTATGGAAGCCAATATCTGAACTAACATCAAAAAGATTCACTGCGATTTTTGGATTTTTGAAACCTGACAATGCATGATGCGATTCCACCAATATGACATTGGTTTGGCGATAAACATTATGTTTGGAAACAATTTCTTTATTTTAAAATTGATCCTTTATTTTGCCCTTCAGTATATATCACAATTTTCCAACCAAATTATGTATTATTTATCCATACAGACTTTTTCTCCGTGATGTAGAAACTCCAGGTTTCTGATACATTCTATATTTTCTGTCTCTGTTATCAGGGACAATTTTTCGACCATACTTTCTCTCTATCCAATCACGTTTGTCTGTTTTAGAGGATTTCGTTCTTAGCAACTTGAGAGCTGAAAGACTAGCATCAGGTCGATATCTCAAGTGAATGTCCTTGACAATTGCCAGCGAGTCACCTGAAAAGGGATGTGAATTAATTGTAGTACAAACTTGATAAAACAACCCATCTCAACTCTGACTTTAGTTCTTAAATATATTGACAAAACAATATTAGATTTTTGAGTATTTTTTTTTTTGAATATGACTATATGACTATTTTTGCTATATAATATGCATATAACATTTGATTTTCAAACTCTACAAAAAGATAGAAAAGAAAAACATCATATTTGTTGAATAACACATAAATCTTCGAATTTGATTAAATATATGTTGCATTTCCACACATTTCTATTACATATTTATTAAAAAGGAAGAACAGTGACAGGTAATTTTTAAATTGGCAAATGACCTTCATCCCAATTTATTCCACTGACCTTTGGGTTCCGTCGCCATTGGAGTAAGGTCAAAGGTAAAAGATATCTCCACTTTGTTGAGCACAACTTGGTCAAAGAGAGCCTGATCAAAACTTGTCTTCTACAATAAACAGTGACAGTAATTTAGGCACAACTGAAGGGCCAACACCATCTCTCAAACTGGTAGGCAGATTGAGGTTTTGATAGAAATATTTTCACAGCAAGTGTTTTCTTACTAAAAAATGACAACAATTAACCCTTTCACCCCTATGTAACTTTAGTAGACTCTACCATGCATTGATCTGGATGAGTCCATTATGGTCTACAGTGGGAAAGGGTAAACATGCTTTTATAAAATTTCAAAATAATACTTTTTACAATACAATGATGTATGCAAGTGAAATTTCAGTAATAATGAATTAGTTTTTCTTACATTATAAAGGCATCCCCTTAGGTTTTCCACAAACAACTCCCAGCGAGGCATGTAATACCTGAAAAAAGTAAGCAAGACTTCAGCAAATGGAGCTATTACTTCCATTAATTAGGAAGTAATTTCATAAGGAAGCAGTGCTTTATATAGATATTTGAATCTGCTTTGAACAAGCGACTTGACTTTGTACAAAATTGCTTACCTTTCTATTAAACCTGCCCATTGCTTATTGGCATAATCAAGAATCTGAAATGAAATTTTCATCAATGTAAATAATTAAAAATAATCAATTATTGATTGTAAATAATGCTGAAGTTATGCATATACAGCATTAAAATAAAAAAAAAGGAAATAATATATAAAACTTGATTTTTTTTGATTTTTTTTTAAGAATTGTTGGCTAAAAATTTGAAAAGGCTTTTTACAATAGAACCTGAGTTGGATCTTTGGCCAAAAGGCTTCATGACATTTCAGTCTTGTAAAACTTATAAAATACTACTAAAAATTGCTTAATCAATATAACATTGCTTGATTATATTTAATTAGTTGTAAGAATTTGATTTCTGTGACCTAGAAAGAGGGTCAAGGTCATTCATCTCAACAAACTTGGTAGTCCTTCATCTCATCATGCTACTGGCATTCCAATTTTACCATGCATTCATATTCATATATATGACATCATACACACCAAACTCCAGAAGATTTGTTTTTAAACTATGGGGCGAGCAAGTTGCAGTCAAAGGTTTGAATGTGTTGAAATAATAATTGTGTCGTAAAAGGTAAAACATTATATCCCATTTTGCCATATACACATTTTCTTTATGGCTCTGATTACATTTACACAATCTCGAAAGATTTAGTCTGTAGAAAAACTGTTATACTGGTTGTGGTCACAAGGTAATGTAATAAGACAAATTAAAGCCTGCTTTACCTCCCCTCGTGGTCCCCAGAGTGTCACCTGGTTGCGTGCATTGTACTCATACAGAAAGCGTTCATCTATGTTGGTAGACTTGGCCTGGGCCGCTGCGATCCAGCGTCCCATCAGGAAGTGAGGATCTGAGGCCAGGACTGTGTCCATATCCTTCAAGAGCCCCACTAACTTATCTCCTATAGTCCTGTACCAAATGTAAATAAGTAATGTGGGATCACATGCACACCCTTCAGGAACACCAACAACTTATCTCCTATATAGCCCTGTACCAAATGCAAATGAAAAATATGGGAACACATCCACACCCTCCAGGAGCCCCAACAACTTATCTCCTGTTATCCTGTACCAAAGGTAAACAAACAATAAACAATCACATCCATACCATTCAGTAGCCCCATCCTACAATTTAGCTCCTACAACACTCTACCAAAAATATATAAATTTTACTGGAGCACAATGATACAATTCTAGACTTGGCTTTCGTAATCTTGTACTCAACAAAAAATACAGGACCAATCATGAGCTCCGCTAATTATACTCCTTTAGTCCTATTTAAGTTTATTTAACAATGTATGGCCATATCACATATTAAGCATACTTTCCAGAATCCTAATCCACCAAAAAATGAATGGACAGACTAGCTGATTCCAGTATATACTCCACAACCCTACCTGGAAGCAGATCACTTTAGGAGGTTCGATAATAACAAACCTTGTTAAACTTTTAGAAGTTCAGAGAACCTGTCTGATCCCCCTGAACGTGCCCTTTAATCTTGTATCCGATATTCAGGATCACTCTGTTGATCTGCCAAAGATTTGTCAGTCAGATTTTGTTTTACATAACTTTGACTTTCCACATCAATCGAAAACCTGAGTATCTTCTAAACAATATACGAACACACTTCATCAAGACAATACCATCTTTCTGGCCATTTCAATACAGATATTCCTTTTGTTCCTCCAAGCAAACCTTGTGACATCATAATATATCTTTCAGATCTAAATATAATTTGTGAAGCATGAAATAAGATAATTTCTGCATGACCCTGTTCATTTATTTTTTGAGAGGATATATTATTTACGTGACTGAAGCGAGGTCTTTCCCTTTGTAGGCATTCACTAAGTCCTGGTAGTAACTTAGGGAGAGAATCTGGAGACTGTTCCGAGTCACATCCACCAAATCATACCTGTAAAACAAAACATTGATGTGACAGTGATCTAATTACAGCACAATAACCTGATAAAGCATTAATAATTATAATAATAATATTTATTCAGGTAAAATAGGCATGTTATTACAAGATATCACAATTTAGAATAAAACATATAATTAAAATCACAATGCAGCTTGTAAATAAAAAAGAGTATTTTGTTTTAAGAGTGAGAATAATAATAGATCTGACCTAATAAAAGTTTTTTTTAATTCAATCATTGACATATATGTAAAAAAAAAAAGGCAGATATTACTATAAAATGAGACACGCTATTTTAGTAAATGAAGGTATTTATAATTAGGTCACATAATAGGAGTGGTGGTGATTGCCATTTACCTAGGATTACCCATAAAAGCCACAAAGTGGCTTATTTCCGATGGGGTCCTTTAAAAATGGAAGAAAAATAAGAAAAAAAGTAAGAAAAAAAGTGGCCTTAATATAATAAATAATGACATCAAACAGTGACCTTTTAATGACAAAATAACAGTGATATAACATACTGGCTTTAATGAAACATATTTATCTTATACCAGAAACAGTACCTTGTTGGGACAGAGTTATCATGACATAACACAATGACCTTAATGTTCCACAATGACCTAGATATGACAAAATGCCTGATATATTGTACATACAGCAGCGACTTAGTTTGGCACTAGACCTGATATGACAAGAGTGACCTTAATGTAAGGTTCAGAGCATTACCATGACTTTTGTTCCGTGACCTTGACAGGACAGATTACATTGTTCAACAGGACACACTCCGTGACCTTGACAGGACAGATTACATTGTTCAACAGGACACACTCCGTGACCTTGACAGGACAGATCACATTGTTCAACAGGACACACTCCGTGACCTTGACAGGACAGATTACATTGTTCAACAGGACACACTCTGTGACCTTGACAGGACAGATCACATTGTTCAACAGGACACACTAAGTACTATGTTAGAATATGACATTTGAGGAATAAGGCAAACTCATGACTCACCGAGAAAATTATCTTCCCCTAGATGAAGCCTATAGCTAATAAACTGTAGGCTTTCACCTGACTGATCAGGATGTGAGTACATACCTGGTGTATGTATTAAGTCAGTAAACTGATTAGGATTTGGCTCTGTCATTTCTATGAAGTTATCTCCCTGAACAGCAAAGTCAGGGATAAAGTCAAATTAACAAGCTACTTTTATATAAAGTTAGGCTATCTACTTACATAAACAGAGTATTATTGACGAACTGATCTGCAGCCAGAACCAGGATATCCCAGGCTATGTAAAGGTCTTCAGGCTCATACCAAAGCTGCCAAATACATAGAAAGGCACAAAAATTAATATACAGTACTATTAAATAAGTAGCTCTCATATTTAATTAAGTCACTAAGGTCTAATTAATGCATCACTTTCATATTAAGTCTGACAGAAAGTGCATTTATGCAAAGATTTCTATTTTCTTCCTTCCTAATCAGTTTACTGACTTAATACATACACCAGGTATGTACTCACATCCTGTTCAGTACACTGACTTAATACATACACCAGGTATGCACTCACATCCTGATCAGTACACTGACTTAATACATACACCAGGTGTGTACTCACATTCTGATCAGTACACTGACTTAAAACATACACCAGGTGTGTACTCACATCCTGATCAGTACACTGACTTAATACATACACCACGTATGTACTCACATCCTGATCGGTACACTGACTTAATACATACACCAGATATGTACTCACATCCCGATCAGAACACTGACTTAATACATACACCAGGTATGTACTCACATCCTGATCAGTACACTGACTTAATACGTACACTGACTTAATACATACACCAGGTGTGTACTCATCACATCCTGATCAGTACACTGACTTAATACATACACCAGGTGTGTACTCGCATCCAGATCAGTACACTGACTTAATACATACACCACGTATGTACTCACATCCTGATCAGTACACTGCCTTAATACATACATCAGGTGTGTACTCACATCCTGATCAGAACACTGACTTAATACATACACCAGGTATGTAGTCACATCCTGATATATCTTGAAGAGTATATATCAGGATGTGAGTACATACACCAGGTATGTACTCACATCCTGATCTGTACACTGACTTAATACATACACCACGTATGTACTCACATCCTGATCGGTACACTGACTTAATACATACCCCAGATATGTACTCACATCCCGATCAGAACACTGACTTAATAGATACACCAGGTATGTACTCACATCCTGATCAGTGCACTGACTTAATACATACATCAGGTGTGTTCTCACATCCTGATCAGTACACTGACTTAATACATACATCAGGTGTGTACTCACGTCCTGATCAGTACACTGACTTAATACATACATCAGGTGTGTTCTCACATCCTGATCAGTACACTGACTTAATACGTACACTGACTTAATACATACACCAGGTACTCACATTCTGATCAGTACACTGACTTAATACGTACACTGACTTAATACATACACCAGGTGTGTACTCATCACATCCTGATCAGTACACTGACTTAATACATACATCAGGTGTGTACTCACGTCCTGATCAGTACACTGACTTAATACATACACCAGATGTGTACTCATCACATCCTGATCAGTACACTGACTTAATACATACATCAGGTGTGTACTCACGTCCTGATCAGTACACTGACTTAATATGTACACTGACTTAATACATACACCAGGTATGTGCTCACATCCTGATCAGTACACTGACTTAATACGTACACTGACTTAATACATACACCAGGTGTGTACTCACATCCTGATCAGTTCACTGACTTAATACATACACCAGGTATGTACTCACATCCTGATATATCTTGAAGAGTATATGCAAAAATTAATATAAATGGCAATAAACACATTATTTTGCTAAGAAATGACAATGAACATTTTCTTACTGAAAATCAGATATTAAATTAAAATGAATGTTTGCTGTTAAACAATATAATAGGCCTGTAGATATTGCCATCATACATCCTGGTGTATCATTGGAGTTCACCGTGGTCTGACTTATACTCACATCCTGGTGTATCATTGGAGTTAACAGTGGTCTGACCTATACTCACATCCTGGTGTATCATTGGAGTTAACAGTGGTCTGACCTATACTCACATCCTGGTGTATCATTGGAGTTAACCGTGGTCTGACCTATACTCACATCCTGGTGTATCATTGGAGTTAACCGTGGTCTGACCTATACTCACATCCTGGTGTATCATTGGAGTTAACCGTGGTCTGACCTATACTCACATCCTGGTGTATCATTGGAGTTAACCGTGGTCTGACCTATACTCACATCCTGGTGTATCATTGGAGTTAACCGTGGTCTGACCTATACTCACATCCTGGTGTATCATTGGAGTTAACCGTGGTCTGACCTATACTCACATCCTGGTGTATCATTGGAGTTAACCGTGGTCTGACCTATACTCACATCCTGGTGTATCATTGGAGTTAACCGTGGTCTGACCTATACTCACATCCTGGTGTATCATTGGAGTTAACCGTGGTCTGACCTATACTCACATCCTGGTGTATCATTGGAGTTAACCGTGGTCTGACCTATACTCACATCCTGGTGTATCATTGGAGTTAACCGTGGTCTGACCTATACTCACATCCTGGTGTATCATTGGAGTTAACCGTGGTCTGACCTATACTCACATCCTGGTGTATCATTGGAGTTAACCGTGGTCTGACCTATACTCACATCCTGGTGTATCATTGGAGTTAACCGTGGTCTGACCTATACTCACATCCTGGTGTATCATTGGAGTTAACCGTGGTCTGACCTATACTCACATCCTGGTGTATCATTGGAGTTAACCGTGGTCTGACCTATACTCACATCCTGGTGTATCATTGGAGTTAACCGTGGTCTGACCTATACTCACATCCTGGTGTATCATTGGAGTTAACCGTGGTCTGACCTATACTCACATCCTGGTGTATCATTGGAGTTAACCGTGGTCTGACCTATACTCACATCCTGGTGTATCATTGGAGTTAACCGTGGTCTGACCTATACTCACATCCTGGTGTATCATTGGAGTTAACCGTGGTCTGACCTATACTCACATCCTGGTGTATCATTGGAGTTAACCGTGGTCTGACCTATACTCACATCCTGGTGTATCATTGGAGTTAACCGTGGTCTGACCTATACTCACATCCTGGTGTATCATTGGAGTTAACCGTGGTCTGACCTATACTCACATCCTGGTGTATCATTGGAGTTAACCGTGGTCTGACCTATACTCACATCCTGGTGTATCATTGGAGTTAACCGTGGTCTGACCTATACTCACATCCTGGTGTATCATTGGAGTTAACCGTGGTCTGACCTATACTCACATCCTGGTGTATCATTGGAGTTAACCGTGGTCTGACCTATACTCACATCCTGGTGTATCATTGGAGTTAACCGTGGTCTGACCTATACTCACATCCTGGTGTATCATTGGAGTTAACCGTGGTCTGACCTATACTCACATCCTGGTGTATCATTGGAGTTAACCGTGGTCTGACCTATACTCACATCCTGGTGTATCATTGGAGTTAACAGTGGTCTGACCTATACTCACATCCTGGTGTATCATTGGAGTTCACCGTGGTCTGACTTATACTCACATCCTGGTGTATCATTGGAGTTAACCGTGGTCTGACCGTGGGAATAATGTTGAGATTGTTGTCATGGTGACCATCAGAGCAGTTGTAAATACTCAGCTAAAGGCAAACAAAAAATTATGAAATAAAAAAATAATCCAAAAAGAACAAGAAAAAAGTTTGCAGCAAGCTTTATTGGAAGTCAAATATACAATCTGTTTAGCCTATCAGTGTGTAAAATGAAGGGTTGCTTAATTATTATTCTTTCTAACAGAACTAGTTGTCTGCAACAAAATTTGTTGATAACTGCACACATTATCTTATTTAAACAATATCTTTTTACCAGAAATGTAGCAAAAGAATTAAGCACAAGCTATATAACAACATAAATTATGCCCTCTCCAGAAATGGTGAAAAACAATTAAAAGAGACCCAATGCAATGCTGACAAATTGTTCAAAGTTACTTCAAATCCAAAATGTCTTAGCTTATCACAGGCCATTGAGGCCATCTTGGACATTTTGATCAGCACAAAAAATAACAAGACTTGTTGGGGACTTCGTGAAGAACATTTGCACGAAAAGGAGTTTATCAGTGCAGCTGTTCTTGGGATAAAATGTCTCGGCCAATCAGAAGCCAGTGCATCTAGAAACATTTGTACAAATGTTGAAGTCAACAGTTTCGTACATTCTTGAGAAGAGGTAATTGAATTAAAAATGTCTTGGCCAATCAAAGGTCATGGTGGACATCTTGAAATTCTGGAATGAGATAAAAATTAATAACACTTGCATGGGTTGGGAAATCATAATTAAGGAATAATTGTACCAAGTTTGAGGCCAATTAGTTCAGTGGTTCTGAGGAAGAAGTTGAAAATGTAAATTGAAATGAAGGACACTGACAGATGAAGACAGATGGCAATGACTCTCATGCTTAATCATGTGAGCTAATAAAGGCAAACAAAGACAGCACTCTAAACTTATTCATGTTTTGTTTTAGGGTTTTTCTCTTCATTCTGTGCGTCTTAGTGTTTTTGCTCAAGTTATATAGAATCTGAAATAACATCGATTGAAGCTGGAAATTTCCCATACCCATGCAGCTGAAAGCAGAATAAGACCAATGTATTGTGGTAATACATTTTCCCCATTCAAGTTACATGATATGCAAAAATGTTAGCTTCCTCATTCCATTTTATTTTTTCTTAATTGATTTTGTACATCAGTCATAATGACAGAATGGTTGTTATTTACATATTTAAAAACTTCCCTTATGTAATAAAATCAAACTGATTCATTATTCTGCAATCTCCATATAAAAGGACCAATTCTAAGAAAGGTAAAACAAAATTGCAATGGGATACGTTCACAATAATCTCTGATCTGATATACAGCCTCAAATGTTAGCAAACATCTATTAGTAACGAGATAGCTAACCTTGAGATAATGCCAGGCAAGATCTACATACTTGTCATACTTTCCGTATCTTACCTTGAGATAGTGCCAGGCAAGATCCACATACTTGTCATACTTTCCGTATCTTCTGGTTGCATAATCAGTTACCCTGAAATTTAGAAGAAAAATTGTTTCCAATAAACAAAGTGAGTTGTAAAACAAACAAAATATATCCATGCAGCTAAGTTTTGTAGAAATTTTAAACCAAAACCTTATTGCTATAGTATCTATGCATACATAAGCATCATTATATATATTTGAAAAACAAACAGATGTACAGAAATTATATGGCAAAAACACCAATCCACCATAGCCTGAAACTGTATGTCCTTCAGTGTTTTTTTACTTGTCATCTCTAACATTATTCAGCTTAGATAATTAAAATTCAGCAATTGCCATTGGTGCAAATTAGATCCATAAGAAATGATATTAAATTCACGTTTTGAGTCGTACCATTTTCCTACATCTCTAGGTTCAGTTCTCCAGGTGTTTTCAGCAAAGAACTCGTAAATGACCTCATTCTGATATATGCCCTCTGGTGTGATTCCGATGCCAACCATGGTACTGTTAGGGAAAGCCCGCCCATCAAATGGACCCTGATCAAGCAATTTGGATCAAAGGTTAGCATTTGATCTTACCTAGCTAGGTATACAGTGCACAGTTGGTGTTTTCTATGTACAAATAATTGACAATCAAACACTCCTAATGTAATGGATTCAATAGAGCTTCTTACTAATAAAAAAACTCTAAAAGAATAAAGGAATCTCAACACAACAAGGAAGTTTTGTATGATTTACTGTCTACATGTTTCCGCCTGCTATGCAGCCATTATCATGTCAAAGGTATATTTTGGCTAAAGCCTAAATACAGCAATGCGGTTCAAAAATATTTACATTATGATAAGCTACATTATGACAACACAACAGTTGTGATGTTAGTAGTGTAAAACAGTTCATCCTGTTGTTTCTGGAATATTCCCCTACACGGCTGCATGCTTCGACTCCATCCTTAATTTATTTTTGGGGTTAATTGCGATCTGTGACTTTAACCGCAATATACTTTTGTCCTATCCCTTGCATCCTTCCGGATCCGCTCTATCCCAAATACTGCGCCATAGTATGGCCAAAGGAACTTTTGGAACAACAGAACTTGCCCAAACTTGGAGGCAATTGACCACATGTACAGAATATTCCATAAACAACTTGCCATTATGTTAATCTTTATGTACCACATTTCTGTACCTTAGGATTTAGCTGCAATAAACCTTTGCCCTGATGATGGCCGCAAAGCAGGCCAAAACATATAGACAGTAAATCACACTAACATCTGTGTTGCATTGAGATTCCTTTATTCTTTTAGTATAGGTACAAACAGTAAAATGGATCAGTTTGTGTCGGAGTTAAGCATAGGTTGGGTTCGTGTGTTCCAGTTGAAACAGTTCAGGTGGCATAAATAATCTGCGATAAAGGAAAACACTTTGACCAGAATGGTGTTGAACTTATGGGCATAGCTAAAAAAGCACAGTTTTGGAGTTCTGTAACAAATAGATAATAATATATCTAACATGTCCTTCTTTCATGCATGCACTAAATTTCATAACAATTCCTAAGAAATACTTGTGAATGGAACTTGTTTTTGCAGAAATAATGCAAACTAGGGATTAATATCAACATTTTAAGTTTCAGTCAGACACATCTGGCCCCGTTGAAATGCATGTGCCAAATTCTCCTGTGGCCAGCATTGTTTAAATTGAGCTGCCTGAGCCTGTCATTTTCTTTTCAGGTTCAGCTGATTGAAATGGTGGAACCCGATACATGAAAGGGACCATAGCATACCAACATTTTGACAAGGTTAAGTATATTGAAAGTAGCAAATAGAGGTTCTTAAATCAAGCATGACTCATCAATAGCTACAAACAGTATTCAAGCATTGAAACACAATTTAAGTGAAACATGAAAAAAAGATCAAAGCTTCAATTATTTACCACATTATCATTAATGAAACAATTTTATACAATATGCACAAAGTCAAAAAATGTCCTACAATATGAACAAAGTCATACAATGTCCTACAATATGAACAAAGTCATACAATGTCATACAATATGAACAAAGTCAATGTCAGTCAATGTTTTGATAATATCAACAACTTCAAACCATCAGTCATATGCATTTCCAATACATATATGTCAAACACATCAATCTTGTAATCAAAACCACATAATGTTATACAATACCAAACAATATCTATATATGTCAAACAGTGTTTGATATACCGAGGTATTTCCAGAAATCAAAGTGATGGTACCTCAGCTACTTACATTGTTGATGTTGAGAAACGCTCCATACATTTCAGACGATCCCCCAAAGTTGTGTAGCATACACCAAATAAATGGCTGGCCGTAGTAAGATTGTGTCGTTGTAAATATTGGAGCAATTTCAGAGTACAAATCTAACACAATCATTTTCCCCTGAAAATACAAGTCATAGGTAATTGTTAGCTGAAAACTGTCACATAACTAATCGAAACAAATAAGAAAACATTTTTTTTTACAATCATTATATAGATTTAATTATTCCAAAACAACTATATTTTGCAACTACAAAATGTATTATAAAGCACCTTTTATTGACTTATAATTAACAATCTAGTCGACCCGCATGTTAATTGTCTTAGATAAGCTAGCATGCCATCTACAGCACCACATGACCATCCCAATTTGAAAATCATATCCACAGTAAAACATTGTAAATACTCTCTTTCACTTAAAAGAGGATTTTTGGTCCGACTGAGTTTATTACCAATCTTTTAACTCTAGATATTTCAAATAGGATATCAGTGGGGAAAAAAAGAGCTTTTTATTTTCAAAACAACTTTGACATAAAAAAGTTTAAATGTACATTTAATAAATTGTTTCTCATAGCATGTCACTTTCATTTTACATTTATTGTGTATTAAACAAGTATTTGTCACTTCAATATAAATTAGCTGAATTTTGATTCTACTAATGTGACGTATAAAAAAGATGACCCGTAGGAGAAATAAACTGGTGATGGAAGTAAATGTAAGGACCTACCGTTGGAACACCAGTAAGGTAGGCCTTTATCTGTTCAGGTTTCCAGAACCATACTGACTGGAACAACCATCCCTGCATCAGCCTTAAATACCAACAAGTATGACAGTATACATACTGTACAGGCTAGCATGTTTTAGTTTGTTTGTTAATAACTTAATGGCTCGGCAACAGTAATATCATATTGTACCAGGTAGCGATGATAATGAGACACACATGTACAAACACATCACAATGGACTAACTTATAACACAGTTAAATCTACCTGTTGTATTAGTGAAATCGTACTTACATATTTCTACACACTGTCATGTATTATAAGTGAACATTTTAGTAAAATATAATGTTCCTTTGATTCCATATCCATAAGTCTCAATTTCTGTTGACCATTTTAAAATTCTAATATCCATACCAATCATGAATTTCTGCCTACTAATTTTTGCTGTTAGAAAACCATGACCTATAACTCGCACTTTGAGATACTTAAATACAATCTTTTAACATAGGAAATATCTGGTAATGATGATTATTTTCATATGTGCATGTTGTTACCATATTCCTTGTGGATCAGCATCCAAAACAACTTCATAAATGGTGCGGGAAGCCTTGGCCAGGTATTCTGGGGCACTGTTAAGTAAATACAATAATAACCATTGACCCTGGTATAACAGGTACATGTTGTGTAAATGCTAGACTGGCTACCAGCCCCTAAGTTTTTACAAAGAATTTCCAGCTGAATTTTACTACTAGTTGTTCTCCCCCAGTTTAGAACGTAGGCTAGCTTCAGACATCCAAGTAATCAAAGTTATTTGAGTTCATCTTTTTCTAATTATCCCAATATTCCAGAGACTGGGGACAATCTATGTAAATGGTGATATGACTGTTAATATCAACCAATCTAGGTTGTAATTCCGGGTCACTGGGAAGTAATTACAATTTCTTATAATTATGAATGACCCAAATATAGATTATGTAAATGTTGATGCAGCTGATTAGATTTGACATTGCACTCTGCTAAAACATTCTCTGCTCCCATCATGATTTATCAATCTAATCAAAATTAGACTTGTAATTACTTGTAGAGGAGCGGAATAACAAGTCTAACTGATGGTTCCTGTAGAAAGCCATTGATATTTTATATACCTACTTTGATTTAGGGTCCATCTCATTGAAGGTGTCAATATTGTAGATATGGTCTGTACCAAACTCGTTCATCATCTGAAATCTCAATAGAAGTTTAAATTAGCTGCATGAATAAATGTAGCCAAGCTTTGAGAGAATAATAAATACAAAAAAAGTTCAAACTACTATGGGTTTTTTTCATGAAATAATGTCATTAAGATATCCCATACCATGTTGATCAGACTTTTTTCATCAACATATGAAAAACTATTCTATAACAAACATAAACAATATATATTCTGTTGACAATTATGGAACCTAGGAGACTGGACCATAAAGTCTGTACTGTATTTACATGATCATACACATGAATTGTATATGATTAAAAAATTATAAAGTATACCTCCTTAAGGAACTGCACACCAATCTGTTTGAAGAGCGGGTCATCAAAGTCTAGGAGGAGGTTGCTGGGGAGGCAAGAATTAAGTACCATGTTACAACTGAAACATATTGTCTGTATATTCTGCTAGTCAATCTACCACATTTATCTCTGACTCAACATAGGGGTTGCGCTTATTGCAGGACCATGAATTCAATTTTGATTAGCATTTCTACTGCACTGTATTTGAAAGTTGGGAGGGGGGTGGCCTATCACCAGCCATTCATGTTCAGTTAGAGAAAGAACAATTCTTCTGATGTAGATATACTATGAAGCAGCCATCACTTACTAAAACAAACATCTCATTAATAAGGAAATACAGATACAATTTGTGTTCATCATATGTGTTCCTATGGGACCTGATGGTTTTTCAATTGGAACATTTTAAATGAACACAACAGTATGCGATTGCCAAGTACTGTACAACTAGTAGTACTACGACTGCAGTGTCAATATCCACGACACACACATCAAACATGTAGTATAACATAAACTGGATGATCTTAGAAAATGAAACATTTTAATGATTGTGTTTCAAGCCTGTTAAAATGATCAATGTGATACATGTCTTATATCCATCAAAAAGTTAAATATTCTTCTATAATTGTGAGAGATACATATACTGTAGTATAAATGGAAACCATTTACAAGTCTCTGTATAAACATACCAACAGTAGGTTCCATTGAACCCTGCCCAGTCAGGCAGTCGGGATACATTTGACTCGGGAAACAGCCTACAAACAAACAAAAACAGGGAGCCAGTAACACTGGTTTCAGTCTCTGATATTTGTTTTTCGTTTCACCTAATTGAATAAAACACCTTGGACTGTTAATCTGCATGCTTTTACAGGTAATCACAAAACAAATTTTGGTTAATGAAAATTTAAATAAAAGTCAAAAAATTGAACTTTAGTGTTACATATTACAGCCAATTATCCAGTTGCAAAATTGCTCAAATTTAAAAAAAAAGTTTATAGACAAAGAAATCAACTTTTTGTCCAATTGAAATAAAGAGAAAATATGGGGTGCTTTATTTTTTTTGATCTTGGCTTAAAGATGAACCATATTCAGTTATTCACCATGTGATAGCCTCAGGAACATGTCCAGCAAAACCTGGCAGGACAGGAATCATTCCAAGCTCCCTGGCCCGGTCAAGGATCTTGTGTTGTAGGACCAACTGCTGATCAATCCAGGACTGAGGTAGTGGTCCGCCCCAACCATGCATGTTACCCATTCTTGACCTGTCAGGGGAGATAACACATGATAGAGGGAGATAAGGCATGGCAATTGTTCAGTAAAGTACTGATACATCCAATTTATTTCTACAACCTGTCAGGGGAGATAGCATATATTACAAGGGGACACAACTCATGGCTTTATCTGTTTTGTGAGGTCACAAGTGGTCCATCCAGACCATGTAAGCTATATCAAGGGAGATAACACAATCCAAGGCACATAGCTCTTGCCTGTCACTGTTCAGTGAAATGGTGGTCCACTCTATCCATGCATCCCATTATTAATCTATCAGGGCAGATAACTCAGAGTATTATTACATTAGAGCAGTGGTTCATCCCAAGCATGATGTCCGTAGGGATTACACTCGTCAAGATAAACAATAAGGGCCATGTTTTGTCTGGGTTTGACCAATTGTTCAAGACTTGCTGATTTACAAATGATATAAGAATGAAACCTTCAAGCCAAGGACCAAAATTAGAGGTCCGATATAAAAAGATGTAAAAGGAAACTGGTAGACTGCAGTGATCTACATAAACAAGGTGAAATAACTCGTAATGTAGGGAGATAATAACATAACTTATTTGAGGTACCGCTGGTAAACATTTTTACTGCAGTAATCTCTCAATATTAGATATTATGTATCTTCGTTATGTATCTTCGTTACTTTAAACATCAGAAATCTCATTCTCTAAGAGAAAGAAGTGTTTTTTTTCAATTCTTGTTATGGTTCAGTTAACTTTGACATATGTTATAAGATCATTCTCACCAAGCAAGAAAGGCTGGGCCACCAAAATGTCTCTGTATGTCATACATTGTGAATCCCATTCTCATGTAGACCTGTAAAAGTTTTAAATTATAATATATATATTTACATGTATATAATATTTCTCCAAAAACTTTCTCAATTGTTTGGAAATGCACCTGTCATTAATTCCTTCAGCAAAAAGATAATACTAAAATCTAATATGATTCTTCTTAAATACTATACCACAAACATACAAGTGTTTATTTTTTATGACCTGAAAATTGCTTATGCTAAAATAACTAATATGTAATTTATTATATCCTGTTACTTGAGAATTAGATTTGTGTTAGATATAGAGTTAGGAATAAAGATTTCTGATATAAATGAATTTCCCTGTTACTCTGAAAATCAATCTAGATTGAAAATTAGTGTGTTTAATAGTTATCAAGATAGAGTACAGGTACAAAATACCAATGTTTTAAGTTTTACCCGTTGAAATATGGCCTCCTGTCCAGTGAAGGCCAGTGGCATGTTGATTCCGTGTAGAGCCATCCAGTCCAACTGTTGTTGCCAGTCGGTCCAGTTATACCACACAAACGAGTAGTCTACTGTACACACATTCTGGTAGTACCGGAACCTGGTTAACATACAGACAACAAACCTGATAAAACAGGGGATATCACATGTACTCATGATCAGTACAATGTATTTGTGTACTGAATGGTTATGTAAAGTTCTATCCAAACCACAGAACTAAAGCCAGTAAAGAACAAAGTAAAAGATTTTCAATTCATAGTAAATGACGAAGCAATACCTGTCATTGGTAGTCACTTTGATGCCTGGGGCAGGAACCTTGGGTAGGGGGGATGGGATGTTCATCTGTTGCCCTGCCCATGTGTACTGACACCCACAGTGATTGGTCAAGTAGTAATACAGTCCCATTGCAACAGCAACACCTGTCGTCCCAGTAATATTGACATAGGGTCCAGATGTGATGATCTACAGTAAATGAAGAAAAAAAGAATTCCAACTTAACAGCTGAACATTAATACCGGGTATTCATAATGTTAATGATAATCACACCTTTCATATTTTAACAAATTTCTGAAAGAAAGTATTCTTTAAGTCACCTGAAAAGTGTCTCTGTTTTGTGGTCCTAAGGTAGATGATATGGCTGCTTTGAACTCATTGGCTCTTTTCCCAACAATACGTCCAATCAAGGCCTGTGCAGCCGCTGCCTGTGTTTCTTGTGATGCCTTTGGCTTAAGGTGATCCAGTGTTTGAAATTCTGAGAAAAAAAATCAATTAGAGAGACAAAATATGAAATAATATAAACATATGATATCACAAAAAGAATACTCACAAAATTTTAACAGAATATGAAAGAAAAAACAAATTATGCTCAGATTGACAATTCAGAAAAACTTTATGGGTGTCACCTACATGTATAGGTAAAATGCAGGAACTAGCTAGCTGCTTAATTTTTACTATTCATCAACTATGAATAATTTCTCTTATGCTTGTGTAGCGGAACTGGACTGGGGCAATAAATGGCTACCAGATAGTTCAATTGGTAAAGCGTCCATCTAGAGTTCGGAGGGTTCCGGCAGTCTGGCGGTTACATTTTCTCTTTCTCCATGCTGTAACAAAATTGTTGAGCTTGCCAACACTTGTTTCAAGCATTGGGAATACGCTTAGCAAGGGGATACCCATACTTGGGTTGTAAAGAGTTGTATCTTCGGGGGCAAAGACTTAGAAAAAGGAGGGAGGAATGTAGCAGAACTGGACTTGGGCGATCGTCCACGACCAAATAGCTCAATTGGTATGGCATACGTCTAGAGTACGAAGGTAACAGGTTCGAATCCAAGTCTGGCCATTACATTTTTCTCTTTCTTCTGTTACACTTGATTGGTAGACGTGTTACAGACGAACACTAGCAGCCTGTAGAAATGCTAAGTGGTTGCATGTATGCCAAAAATTGTCAGTTGCACCATACACAGCTGTTTCTTAAGACCTTCTAGGATATCCAAATCGGTCTCAATTAACGTTATAACAGAACGTTAGGAGTGTAAAATTATATAGATTAAAAAAACACAGAAGACAGAAATTACATGTAAAATTTAAATGTCCTTAGAGTCATGATGCGAGTTAGATAATATTTACCTTTTAAAGCTCCAACTGTAGAAATCAACAGAAGCAGGGCAACCTGTGGAATTTAAAAGACACAGTTATAAGGAGAACTTGATATGTGTTCAGTAATANCCCCCCCCCCCCCCCCCCCCTACATTAAATATATATTATTTGAACGAGTAACGTGCAATATTGCAATATCTTATAATCCACAATGGTACAATATAACTGTCTGATTATTGTGTTATATCTGATGGTAAATATATCTGGTTCAGCGTGAGCTTCTATTTATTTAGGCTTATGATAACCGTTCAATAAAAGCGAAAGTAACCATAACGGTTTACATAATGACAGTGGTTATAACTGCCTAAATTTATGGGAATGCTACCAGCGAGACAATAAAATAATCAAACATATGCGTAAAAACTATAGTAAGATAGTAAATATGTTATTAAAATCTTACAAATATCCTGGTAATTGCCGGATACATCGTAACCTCTCAGCATCAGGAGAGCATCAGTGTCGCAACAGGTGGTGTCGTCTGTCATGTGACAATTCATTCATTCGGAATATTCTTTTCGAAAACCACCGAGAAATCGGAAAGATTTAACAAGATTTAATAATATTTATACATCTATAGCAACGGAATCGAGTCACTTAAAGATACTGAAAATTCATCAAATTATAAAAAAAAAGTTGCTTTCGTTCATTAAAAAGAGATCGGTGTGCCTTATTTGTTATGTAATATTATTAAAAACAAATCCGGAACAGCCGATTCAGACTTTTAGTGACACACGTCTCTCTACTTCCTTGTTCACTAAGTTTTGTGATTTTGAAGAAAATCCCCCAAATTACGAATTCATTAGAGGTGAATGGATTGTGTCAATGAGGTAGAACGAAAAACAGGGCATATATGATTCACTTTTCACTCAAAGGTACGTTGCTTTTTGTTGATTCAACTGATATATCGTTGAACATAATTGTATCAAACACTAAACGACCAGTTGACCGACTTTGAGATTGACAGGGAAGTTGTACCTCTATTGCGCATCAGCTGACCAAAACTCAAACATATATGAACAGATGAACCCTTTTTCGTCATGCATACACACCAAAGTTTCCATATTATCCGTATCTGGGTTGTTACTATTTGTAGTCAGCATGACAAACAAGTATCTTGTTGGTTTATTTATCATCCTGGTCGGCTTCACGAAGACTTTCGCCTTGTTACCGAAACGACCTGACATCGGCTTCACAATCATATGCAGTAACTTTGCTGGGCTGTTATTATTATACTGTAAGTTAGCCCGATTTTCATCTGGCCCTAACACCAGATATTTTGACATCTATATGTCTAAGTCTAGTGTTAGGGCCAGAGGAAACTCAGGCTAACAGTAAATTAGCTGCGATATCGTAGCTTTCTTGCAGCGAGAGTTTTTTTCGTAATCCGGCCGGGGCAGACGGGGCCGGGTATTAATATTAGTACTAACAGTAAGTGTGAATTCATGAACTTAGAAAATCTTATTCCGTGATGTGTTACTGACGTAGCAATAGTCTACCATTCATAAAAATATTTCTTTAGGAATTTTTTTAGTGATGTAAAATATGTTAAAGTGAAGTTATTTGAACATCATGTAGCAGATTTTCCACAAAGGATTACGGTTGCTTCTAGCTTCGCACTAGAAGGAATTTCCCTTTAGATCAGGGGAAGAGCGTCCAACAAGGAAGTCTGGGATCGATCCCCATTGGAAGTACACCACTATATATCTTTCCTGTTACAAATTTGATGCCCAACGAAATAAACCCACTGAGGGTGATCCATAGGGTCTCATGTGTCTTCCGAGTCAAACACTTTGTTGAAGGAGAGAAGACATGTAGTGGAACCGGACTGGGTCCCTCGCTGGTGGCCATGCAGGTAGCTCAATTAGGTAAAACATCCGTCTAGATTTAGGAGAGTCCTAGGTCGAATGGTTATAAAAAATATGGACTTAACAAAAGTTGCGCTGTTGGGTCGCTGAGTTTGAACAGTTCAAGGGTCAAAACTTCCGTCAGAACTGGCGAGTTGAACTTCCCACGAAATTCCATATACACTGCCCCGCCTATTGACCTTTAATAATTAATACAAATATAAAGTCTGCATCAAGACAATATATTTTGTCTTCCAAAAAATCATAGAACTACATTACATTTATATATGTAACAGGAGATAGAAAAGTCCACAGCCAGACCAGGGTTAATTAAACCCGGGATCCTCTGAACTCTATAACTATAGATATATGGACACTCTAACCAATTGAGCTACCTGGTCGTTGATGATCGACCAAGTCCAGTTTTGCTAATACAGTGTACACATAAAAACTTTTTTTTTCTTTGTCAAAACATGTAAACCAAAAATTATGTTTATTATTTGACTGGAATATTTCCTGGAAGATATTTTTAGTACATATTATTTTTACAAGTCCAAAGTACAAGTAAGACTAGATGATTTACTAGTCCTTTCTAAAATCTTCTAGTCTTTGGACTAGAGGACTAATATTAGGGTCAAAACCTGAAGAAAATACAGGTGGAATATTTCCTCAGGAAACAGACCTGATCAAGGTTATTATTCAACTTAGATGTGGATAGATGTGGACAAATAAGGATTGAGATGTACATGTACGTGTAATGGGGGTTGGGGTGGGATAGACAGATATAGAATAATGATAAAAAAGGATGAATCGTTGGAGATTATACAGTGATAGGGAAATATAAATAGACGACAATGCAAGGATGGAGAAGAAATGATAGAATACACTTGTATTGGACAACAGCTGATGTCAGCTTTAATTTACAGTAGGAAATAGAGTAAATAGTTGTCTAGAAGTTTCCATCGAAGTGTATAGATTGTAGAAAATAACGATTAAAAGCATTTGTTTTAGTTCACCTGTTCAAATACAAGACCTTTGTCCATATTTAAGGTTACAGCCTGGGTCAAATATGTTGAAATCTTTAAACAACTTCTTCTGAATAACCAAAAGGTCCAGGGTGATGATTTTTGGCTAGAAGCATGCTAGGAAGTACATGCAGAGCTATCAAATTTGTTCAAATAAATTACCTTTGCTCATTTTCAAGGCCACATGCATGGGTCAAAACTATGTTATAAATAGTACTTCTCCTAGATAAAAAAAAAATGGCTAGGATGATGATATTTAGCCATTTAGAAAAATTTGAAAAGCTTGTTCAAAAGAATGACCTAATATCATATTCAATGTTACAAGGGTCAAATATGTTAACATGTTTTAATAACCAAAAGGTCCAGGGTGCATGGTGATATGTGGACAGAAGCATGCTCAGATGAAGGTTGTTCATGTGAATGACCTTGACATATTTTTTAAGTCACATCTTGTCGACTGTGTATAAACCTTTAAAAGTTGTTTTCTTAATAACCAAAAGGTCTAGGGTGGTGATATTTTGCAAGTTGCTTTCTGGGATAAATTAGGGCTATGAAGTTTGTTCATTTGACTTTCAATCAGGGGTCAAATTTTTAAATCTTTTGATAGGTTCTTTTGAATGACTTTGCCATCAAGACATTTATAGTTGGCCTATAGCTTTATTTTAGTGCACTTTTAAGGTTACAAGTGTGTATGCTATTAATACCAACTGAGTGTTGCAAGCCCATTGGGCCTCTTGTTTTATGAAATATGAAACATGATGTGTTTAATTTAATTATAATTAATACTATTTCAATTTCTGCAGAAAATGAGAATGTGAATGAGTGACCTTGACTGAAGACAGTATGGCCAACAAAGGGCCATGGCAGCCAGCTATCCTTCCATCCACCGTAATGTATTTCTATGGTCGGGTCACACGAGAGGAAGCTGAGTGCATCCTCCAGGGACATGGGGCTTTAGAGGGACTCTACCTTCTTCGGGAGAGCATCGGAGTCCTCGGCAACTTTGCCATCAGTATCTGTCATAATAACAAGTAAGATTTACAAAAATGATAGTCACAGGGTCATTGGAACCAAGCTGCTACCACCTTCCCCTGAGACTCACTTCCTCTAATCAATTCAGGATCTGATCATTACCACTGAGCAGGATCAGCAGTTAAACATCCTGTTTCTGAAAAACATTTTTAGGATGATTCCGAAAGATGTGTTGCAGTAATTATATAAGTCAGTGTTAGAGTCATAGTATCTAATGGGGTAATAAAAGGACATGGCCAGAAAATGTATTTACTGATTTACAATTATGAAATGTCATTGATTTGATAGAGTATTACTAGTATCCTGGTCTTTTTCATTGAGTAGTTTCATACCTTCAAGTTTAATGATCATTACATGTAGGATCATGCAATGTTTTTGTTTGCTTTTGGACAAGACTGATGTGATTAAATTATTCATGACCAAGAACTGGTTAAGTATAGGAATGTTAAGTTACAATCCAACGCATGCAACAATTAGGCAATACTTTATGTTCATAATCCCGGGCATGCTTTTATAATCAGTGCAAAATATAAAATACAGTATCTCCAGACAGCTGTAATATAATACCTGGTAATAGAGAAAAACTCTACACAATGCTTGATGAAGATTTTAAACTGGGTTTACTGGTAAAGTGGAACTGCTTATATCACTTGTACTGTGGATTCCTGAATGATTGAAACCTCTAGATCTACTAAAGCCTGTTATATATATATATATAACACAAACTGTTCGTAGGCACTTTCCTTCGTGGTTGAAAAATTAAGCCATGTAGATCGCTTTGTGGTACAAACTTTCGTGGATATCCTATATTAACAAACAGTAGACACGTAAACATGTATATATATATACGTATATCATTCAAATTTGATGTATTCATGGTTCAAAAGCGACAACGAAAACCACAAAGCTTTATACACAACAAACATTATATGTTATACAGTATAAATATATGTAGGGTGTATATATCTATACAAGACATCAGCATCCTGACCAGCAGTAAGAAATCCATGGTTGGTAAATAATCTGATTGTGATAGTGACCGACCAGATCACTCTAAAATGTCATTATATTAAGATCCTTTCCATGCAATTTAGAATGATTTCTCTCACATGATTGCAAGCACTTCAATTGTGCACATACGTTTTGTACCTGCATTCCTTTACTTTATTTGGTCTTAGTGTATGTAAGCCTTGCAGTCACTTTTCCTTTTTGTGTTTCAGACTATTTATACATGATTGTAGTTCACAAAAATAAACAATAGCAGATCTTGATTAAATTGTTTTAATAATGCGCCTGACTAATATTTTACTAGATATATCTGAACGGCAATCATTGACTTTCCTTGTCAGTTAACCCTAAATCTGTTGGTATGGTATATGGCTGTAATGTTAATAGATTGAATGTCCTAATCTTAATGTAACCCATTGCATGAAACTGCATGAGAATACCCTTTCCTTTGCAGTGTCCACCATTACGCTATAGAGAAGCAGCATGATGGTCAGTACCGCATCGGTCAAGGCCGTCCATGCAACGGCCCTGTAGAATTGATCCAGCACCATCAAGTTGAAATTGACGGCTTCATCACCATTCCTACCCATCCCTGCAACCGACTCCCAGGCCAGTCCCCCATAGCCTTCCGTGGAATGACCTATGTTGACCTAGAAAATGCGTTATTGACTAAGGCTGAGAAAGAAAAAGTAGGACATTTCTGATGTTCACAATTTAGTTTCCAGTTTTTGTTAAAATTCTCTAAAAAATGATTTTACTATAAGGTAGATTTTAAATGTCATGTAATATCACAGACCAGAACTGTACAAGAGATTCAAAACCTGATTTTTTTTTTGATGTTTCTAACAGTACAAATTCCTATTCTCTGTTAATAATACCACCACACACTTTTCATTGTTGCAGCTCTGTAAGCACAATTTTAACAAACTAATCCTGCAAAACAAACTTATTTCATGTAATATACACAAATTTTCACCAGCAACACATTTAAAATCTGTGAAAACTTTTGTAACGTTGGCCCACTATGAACTGAGAAATAGTGGCGAATTGCCGCTAAACAGGAGCTCTTATCTGTATAGCGAATAAAAATAAAACATGCGATTGATACCATTTCCTTTTACAACACATTTGTATGTTAATGACCTCAGCTGTAAGCTGTAAAAATTTTGTAGAATTCGGTTGAATTTATGGCAGTTATGGCGGTTTGAAAAATGTTGCTAAATTCAAGTACCGGGTAAGTTCTGGACCGTTGTTTGTTTTCACAATACAAACTACAATGTATTGTGAATTTCCTGTTTATGCCAAAAAGTTGAAGGGCGTCGATATTCATAATGTAACTAATGGAGAATAGGTGATTATATGATTAAACATATTCTCTTTGTAGAAATCATATCAATTATAATTAACCATTTTTATCCAACAATAAGCCCAAACCTGGTAATAAGCCCACCGTATCTATCGCTGCTCTGTAGAAATGTCAACAAATTAAATGTCCCGTAATAAGCCCTCCCTTATTGGAGTCTGGGACAACCGTATACATTTGTGTATGTTGTCTCCTTATTATTATTGCAGAATAACTTTGGTATGTGTTTCATCACTCAGTTTATATTGTATTCCTAAGTATCTGTGGTAGTAGTGTCTTTAGTTGATGTCACATGAAGCTTAGTCTAATCAAAATAAATTATATACTTGATCAATCTCCAGATGATGAAAGCACTTTGTATACTGAAAATTTCTGTTACTTATGTTTCATTCAAATGGTACTTTAAGTTATTTAGTACATTTTGACAAGATCTTCGATAGACAACAGATACACAAGTGTTGGCAAAAGGCAAGCCTCTCAAACTCTTATCTGTTAAATTCCCCTACATGTATTTTTTTCAGATTAAACCAGAATCTATCTTCGGGGCACAGCGACAACACCTGATACTAAAGGTAGCCATGGACTTACACCAGAAGCAGCCATGGTTTCACAATAGAATTTCCCGAGACGAAGCCCTTCAACGTCTAGAAAGGGACCAAGATCACCAGAATGGAAAGTTTTTGTAAGCTGTTGGTCTTTAACCAGTCTGATAAGATATAGATCTCATACTTGCATAGACATAGTATTACTATGAAATGTAAAACAGATTGTTTATAAGGAAAGAGCTTGATCACAGAACAAAGTTCACTGTAACTTATCCTTTGTTATGGAGATGTTTAGGATTGAGGCAATTCTCTGTCAGGAGACTTAAGGATCCCTGTAACTAATCCTTTGTTATGGAGATATTTTTTAGGATTGAGGCAGTACTCTGTCAGGAGACTTAAGGATCCCTGTAACTAATCCTTTGTTATGGAGATATTTTTTAGGATTGAGGCAGTACTCTGTCAGGAGACTTAAGGATCCCTGTAACTAATCCTTTGTTATGGAGATATTTTTTAGGATTGAGGCAGTACTCTGTCAGGAGACTTAAGGATCCCTGTAACTAATCCTTTGTTATGGAGATATTTTTTAGGATTGAGGCAGTACTCTGTCAGGAGACTTAAGGATCCCTGTAACTAATCCTTTGTTATGGAGATGTTTAGGATTGAGGCAATACTCTGTCAGGAGACTTAAAGTTCACTGTAACTATAATCCTTTGTTATGGAGATATTTAGGATTGAGGCAATACTCTGTCAGGAGACTTAAGGATCCCTGTCCCACTGCAGGCTAAACAAGAGTATTTCACGGTGGTTGTTCTTATATACAGTAACCGCCTCTTAATGTCATGGGTATATAACTAGCACTATTGGACTATGGTACTACTGTTTACCAGGTAGATCAGTTAGAGTGACGGCTCAACAAGCCGAGGTCCAGGTTTAAATCCTGGTCAAAGCCTATTGATTTTTTTTATACTAGAACACCATTGTATTTTGTTTTTTCATCTTTATCATTTTTTTTGAAAAAAGCCAAGCAAGGTGTAAATTTCTTTTCAGAAATGATTTATCAAAGCTATAGCTAGTATTGCAGAAAAAATCGGTTTTGAATGTATAGTTACAGTTTTTGCAATGGTACAGGGATTCTGAAATATGACTTTGTTATGAACATTTAATTAATCAATAAATCAGTATGATCTGTCACAGTTTCACTCTGCAAGTTTGAACTCAGTAAGCTCTTGTCTACGCTTAAATTTTCTTAATACATTAAGTATTCACTGAATTCAGTACGTGATTTAGATACAATGTAATTGTTTTACAGAGCAAGTTTTGTCTTTACAGAGTGCGTTTGCGTGATGATAAAAGGTCTTTTGCCCTTACACTGATGTACACGAACGAGCCACGACACTACATTATACAGAAACAACCGGGAGATAATAAGCTAGGCATTCCAGAGGGACCCAAGTTTGATTGTCTCCTCATGGTAAGGGGCATAACTCTAAACCTCTCAATGGAAAGGGGGTCTTATACTCTAAATTCTCTCAGTAGTGAGGTTGATTTATATAAATAACAGGGGTCAGTTCACAACTTCTCCAGATACACTTTCTCATTATAATGAGGGTGAGGGGCAATACAATACTTTCTCAGGAAAAAAGGTGTCTTAACAGTGCATGGGGTAAAACTCTTGAAAACACAGTGCCGTCCCATCATAGTGAAAGGTGTTACGGCACTCTCAACAACACTGGACACTGTCCATCATCAGAGTAAGGGGCAAAATTATTTTCATTAGTGTTAATTTTTTGTTAAATTTCAGTGAAACTAAAATTAATGTATATTTCTAGTTCATTAATTTCTGTCTCCTTATTTTGCAAAATTTTAATGCATTTTAATCGTCTTTTGACTGCACCTCTAATGTTTTATTATAAAAAGCCTATTTCATAGACAAAATCATTAATTGCATTGTTTTAAAATTTAATGACCAATTTTAACGCAATCACATGTTTTTCATATACTTTTAATGCAGTTTTAATGAAGATGGTGTGAAGCAGTGACTCTTATCATTGTTAAATGTCGTACTACAGTAATATAAGGCACACTGTTTTCAAGGAGGTTAAGAATAATACCCCTAACGACACATTATATATGAGTGTATTCTGACACAAGATTAAATCTTCTCAAAGCAAAGAGATCAACAGTGACTTGATCAAGGTTCCATATTAACTCACTTTCTAATAATAATAAGTAATATTGATCAGGATGTTTAAAAACAAAATGTTGGACACCTGTATTTCTTCTTAATGCTTTTTACCTCAAATTTGAAGTTGTTAGTCTCCAGGGGAAACTTACAGAGGTCTAGAAAATCTTTAAGTTCAATCAATAATCAATGTCCCTGCTGTGTTTCAGATGATTGACCACTACCACAATAAATCAGACGGTCTATTATGTAAATTAACGAGTCCCTGTGTGGTACCAGGATATGACACCAAGAGACTCTCCAGTAAGTCTCAGATAGAAAGCGATGGGGAGGAACAGAAAGAGGCTTTTGATAAATAAATGTGAAGAAGGATGGATAAGGGTGGTTGGGAAAGCGGAAAAGGACAGAGGTATGGTAAAGGGAGGGAAGGGGAAAAAAAAGATTGAACAAAAAATGAGAAGACACGAATGGGAAAGGCAGGGGATTGATCACAGTGCTAGTGGAGGGAAGGAGAGAAATCAAGAGAGGATAACAGGTGTCTATTGATGGTAAAGAACATATAAGTCTAAACCTAAAACAAGATTTAGGTCTGTGACCTATTGCCAGGACAGGAGGTGAGACATATAATGGTGAAAAGAAGAAGAATGAAGGGAGGTGAGGCAGTAGACGAGGAACGGTGTGAGGAGGGAATTAGAAGGACGGTCATGGATAAAGTGAAGAAAGGGAATGTAGAATAGGGATGAATGAATGAATATTGATAATGATGGGAAAAGCACTGGGGGTGAGGCAAGGTCAGTTGCAGGACATGTAGAAGAAGGAAAGGGAGGATAGAATGTAATGGGAAAGGGAAGATAGGAGAGAGATTAGGGGAATGGAGAAGGATGGATGGCTGTTCCACTATCCAGCAAGTGTATTTGATCGGACAGATTTCCCTTTTTCCTTTTCTGATGTGTTCCTGTTATCAAGCTGTTTCACGTGTAACTCTCGACGGGATTAACAAGGCTTAAGTATACCACACAGTTTCTGAAATCTAAGGAGGTCAAATCTACTTAATGAAATAAACCTTAGACAAAGCAAAATAATCTGTGTGAATGGATTGCATTTGTAATAAGGTTACATCACTACAGCATCAAAATATGCTGATCTAATTCGAGTGTCAATTTATCTATTTGAAGAGTGGGTAGCATTGAAATATAGCCATGTTATATTAAATTATGCAGCATGTTGTAATGGCTACCAAGAAAGTAAACTGGTAAGTTATAGAATGGATTGTTGATAATTTCATTTAAAATATCTTGTATGATTTCAGAATATCTTGAGAGTTGTAGCAACAATGTAAACTACACAAGTGTGTCCAGCATAGTACGTAACAACAGCACAAGCAGGTCTTCTAACGTAAGTTTGACTGCATTTTATTTGTTTTGATGTAATCTGTACACACCAAATCATGTATGCTAACTTTGTCACATTAATGCATGTGTATAAGCAACCTACATCCTGCCGTACTAAATTTAAATATGTAAGTAATACTACCAACCTAACTACAACATAGACAGTGGGGACAATCTCTGCTGTCGTAATGTAAGTTATACTACCAACCTAACTACAACATAGACAGTGGGGACAATCTCTGCTGTCGTAATGTAAGTTATACTACCAACCTAGCTACAACATAGACAGTGGGGACAATCTCTGCTGTCGTAATGTAAGTTATACTACCAACCTAACTACAACATAGACAGTGGGGACAATCTCTGCTGTCGTAATGTAAGTTATACTACCAACCTAGCTACAACATAGACAGTGGGGACAATCTCTGCTGTCGTAATGTAAGTTATACTACCAACCTAACTACAACATAGACAGTGGGGACAATCTCTGCTGTCGTAATGTAAGTTATACTACCAACCTAGCTACAACATAGACAGTGGGGACAATCTCTGCTGTCGTAATGTAAGTTATACTACCAACCTAACTACAACATAGACAGTGGGGACAATCTCTGCTGTCGTAATGTAAGTTATACTACCAACCTAGCTACAACATAGACAGTGGGGACAATCTCTGCTGTCCTAATGTAAGTTATACTACCAACCTAGCTACAACATAGACAGTGGGGACAATCTCTGCTGTCCTAATGTAAGTTATACTACCAACCTAGCTACAACATAGACAGTGGGGACAATCTCTGCTGTCCTAATGTAAGTTATACTACCAACCTAGCTACAACATAGACAGTGGGGACAATCTCTGCTGTCCTAATGTAAGTTATACTACCAACCTAGCTACAACATAGACAGTGGGGACAATCTCTGCTGTCCTAATGTAAGTTATACTACCAACCTAGCTACAACATAGACAGTGGGGACAATCTCTGCTGTCCTAATGTAAGTTATACTACCAACCTAGCTACAACATAGACAGTGGGGACAATCTCTGCTGTCCTAATGTAAGTTATACTACCAACCTAGCTACAACATAGACAGTGGGGACAATCTCTGCTGTCCTAATGTAAGTTATACTACCAACCTAGCTACAACATAGACAGTGGGGACAATCTCTGCTGTCCTAATGTAAGTTATACTACCAACCTAGCTACAACATAGACAGTGGGGACAATCTCTGCTGTCCTAATGTAAGTTATACTACCAACCTAGCTACAACATAGACAGTGGGGACAATCTCTGCTGTCCTAATGTAAGTTATACTACCAACCTAGCTACAACATAGACAGTGGGGACAATCTCTGCTGTCCTAATGTAAGTTATACTACCAACCTAGCTACAACATAGACAGTGGGGACAATCTCTGCTGTCCTAATGTAAGTTATACTACCAACCTAGCTACAACATAGACAGTGGGGACAATCTCTGCTGTCCTAATGTAAGTTATACTACCAACCTAGCTACAACATAGACAGTGGGGACAATCTCTGCTGTCCTAATGTAAGTTATACTACCAACCTAGCTACAACATAGACAGTGGGGACAATCTCTGCTGTCCTAATGTAAGTTATACTACCAACCTAGCTACAACATAGACAGTGGGGACAATCTCTGCTGTCCTAATGTAAGTTATACTACCAACCTAGCTACACCATAGACAGTGGGGACAATCTTTGCTGTTCTAATGTAAGTTATACTACCAACCTAGCTACAACTTAGACAGTGGGGACAATCTCTGCTGTCCTAATGTAAGTTATACTACCAACCTAGCTACACCATAGACAGTGGGGACAATCTTTGCTGTTCTAATGTAAGTTATACTACCAACCTAGCTACAACCTAGACAGGGGGGACAATCTCTGCTGTCCTAATGTAAGGTATACTACCAACCTAGCTACACCATAGACAGTAGGGACAATCTCTGCTGTCCTAATGTAAGTTATACCACCAACCTAGCTACAACATAGACAGTGGGAACAATCTCTGCTGTCCTAATGTAAGTTATTCTACCAACCTAGCTACAACATAGACAGTGGGAACAATCTCTGCTGTCCTAATGTAAGTTATACCGGGGACAATCTCTGCTGTCCTAATGTAAGTTATACCGGGGACAATCTCTGCTGTCCTAATGTAAGGTATACTACCAACCTAGCTACACCATAGACAGTAGGGACAATCTCTGCTGTCCTAATGTAAGTTATACTACCAATCTAGATACAACATAGACAGTGGATACAATCTCTGCTGTCCTAATGTAAGTTATACCGGGGACAATCTCTGCTGTCCTAATGTAAGGTATACTACCAACCTAGCTACACCATAGACAGTGGGGACAATCTCTGCTGTCGTAATGTAAGTGATACTACCAACCTAGCTACAACATAGACATTGGGGACAATCTTTGCTGTCCTAATGTAAGTTATACTACAAATCTAGATACAACATAGACAGTGGGGACAATCTCTGATGTCCTAATGTAAGTTATACCACCAACCTAGCTACAACATAGACCAACATAGACAGTGGGGACAATCTCTGCTGTTCTAATGTAAGTTATACTACCAACCTAGCTACACCATAGACAGTAGGGACAATCTCTGCTGTCCTAATGTAAGTTATACTACCAATCTAGCTACAAATTATTAATGATAGTCTCTAGATGTGTAAATACTTTTTTGTTTTTCCGATTACCATCCAAGACGGCCACCATGAATTTTTGAAATTTTTGGGAATTTAAAATTTCTAAAGGTGTTCGCTAAAGATAGCCAATGTCACCTTTCCTATTTTACATGTTTTATAGATATTTTCCAATGCATTCCAAATTTGGCATCTAGGTGTATGATGGTACCGCGAACTCAACCAGGACATTCGTTTTCTAATTAGACATAATGGCTGCCATATACTGGTTACTGATTGGTCGAAGCTCCGATGTAGTTCGATTTCGTTCAAATTTAGTATGTATGTGTAATATTATATAATATGGCATTGCAAACTCAACTGCGACATTTGTTTCCTAATTTGACAAAATGGCCACCATATACTGGGTTCTGATTGGTCGAAATTTAGATATTGTTTGATGTTTGTGAAAATTGGTTTACATGGGTTTAGGGGACTGCGAATTCAACCGCATAGGATATGTTGCCATATATCAACCACACGGAGGCTTCTGATTGGTCGAAATAGATAGTGTTTGATTTTGATGACAATCGATATATAGGACTGCAATTTAAAGGACTGCAAATTCAATTGCATACCTTCATTGCCATAGCAACCACACAGAGGCTTCTAATTGGTTGCAATTGTTCGATTTCACTCAAATTTAGTATGTAGTGTAGCATTGCGATCATTTTCTGATGCATCTTTGCGACTATATATGGGGTTGATATTTTTTGATTTTGATAAAAATTGGTATATAGGAGTATAAGGGGACTGCGAATTCAACCGCATAGGTTTTGTTGCCATAGCAACCTCATAGCAACCACACGAAGGCCTCTGATTGGTCGAAATTTAGATATTGTTTGATTTTTATGAAAATTGGTATATAGGGGTATAAGGGGACTGCAAATTAAACCACATATGTTTCGTTGCCATAGTAACTATAAGGCAACCACACGGAGGCTTCTGATTGGTCAACATTTATATATTGTTTGATTTTTATGAAAATTCGTATACAATTTATAGGGGTATTAGGGGACTGCAAATTCAACTGCATAGGTTTCGTTGCCATACCAACAACATAGAGGCTACAGATTGGTTGAAATTCAGATATTGTTCAATTTCACTCAAATTTAGTATGAATGTGTTTTATGCCTTTGTGATCCTTTTCTGATGTATCTTTGCGACTATGGGGGCAGTTTGGGGGACTTCTGTAATGGTCCCCCATTACAATGAGTACTGGTTTGTATTTGATTTTACCTATATTTAGCGTTTGATTTGTGTTTTTCTTGCACCTAATCATGATATAACATTTTTTTGACTATATTCTGTATAGCTTGAAACGGGTGGGGCATCACGTTCTGGGAGTACAAAGCGAGCATTACCTCCGGCCCCAAAAGGTAAGGCTAGCACTGCCAAGCAGAATGGGGCTTCTAATCGCCCTTCCCTGCCATCCTCACGGCGACCCGGTCTACCCCCACTGCCGGCACAAGATGTTTTAGCCAGAGGCGAGTGGGATCCCCCCGAGCGTAAGTTAAACTTTTTCCCGACTAAAACTTAACTCCTTGTGTACATACTAACCCTAGTTGTTTGCTTTTGTGTCATGTTCACTCTGATTGATGCAAATCTAAATGCAAACACTTTAGTGTAGTATTTGAGTATCGTTACTTTGAGAGGATCACTTAGATAGTATAGCCTTCTAATAGATATTTTATCTTCTTGGTTTTCCCCTGGGTCAACTCCTGTTCAACTCCCATGATTAATTAAAAATATAACCTGTATCTAAGAGGGATTGGGTTATCTCAACCATTTAGGGCTAACATTTTGTAATCCAAACCAAGGTGCAGACCAAAGTTGGGTTGTAACAAATCTTTGCTCAAGAACAATAGATCAGTGCTTAAAAACCACTAGATGAGGACGAACTCCAGGTATACTTTCTATCTATAATTTGTTTGAATCAAATTCAAAAATGACTAAAACCCATTTAAAAAGATTATTTTACGATGGTAATTAAGTATTCATTCTTTTTGAACTACAGATACATCACGAAATGGAATGGACATGGATGAGGTGGACTCCAAGATCTATGACACAGTGCCCCGTAACAAAGAGACCTTCAACCTGAGGCGTGACCAGATCACACTGGAGGGGGATTTAGGTAACATAAAGTTAGGTTTTAAACTTTATCAATGCTCCAGATTTCGAAACCTTAATGGAAACAAGGTCTGTGGTATATCGTATTTTCTGTTTAAGAATTCTTTTTTCTTCTTCTGATATTCAGTATTACAAAATGAACAAGGTGGTTGTCATGTATGGGTTGGCAGTAAAAGGCACCAAACGTCAGGGTGGGAGTCATGTATGGGTAGGTAGTAAAAGGCACTAAACGTCAGGGTGGGGGTCATGTATGAGTAGGTAGTAAAAGGCACTAAACGTCAGGGTGGGGGTCATGTATGGTTTGGCAGTAATAGGCACCAAACATCAGGGTGGGGGTCATGTGTGGGTTGGCAGTAAAAGGCACAAAACGTCAGGGTGGGGGTCATGTATGGGTTGGCAGTAAAAGGCACTAAATGTCAGGGTGGGGGTCATGTGTGGGTAGGTAGAAAAAGGCACTAAACGTCAGGGTGGGGGTCATGTATGAGTAGGTAGTAAAAGGCACTAAACGTCAGGGTGGGGGTCATGTATGAGTAGGTAGTAAAAGGCACCAAACGTCTGGGAGGGGGTCATGTATGGGTAGTTTGAAAAGGCACCAAACATCAAGGTGGAGGTCATGTATGGGTAGATGGTGAAAGGCACCAAACATCAAGGTCGAGGTCATGAGTGGGTAGATCGTGAAAGGCACCAAACATCAAGGTCGAGGTCATGAGTGGGTAGATGGTGAAAGGCGCCAAACATCAAGGTGGAGGTCATGTGTGGGTAGGTGGTGAAAGGCACCAAACATCGAGGTGGAGGTCATGTGTGGGTAGGTGGTAAAAGACACCAAAGATAAAGGTGGAGGTCATGAGTGGGTAGATGGTGAAAGGCACCAAACATCAAGGTGGAGGTCATGTGTGGGTAGGTGGTAAAAGACACCAAAGATAAAGGTGGGGTCATGTGTCGGTAGGTGGTAAAAGGCACCAAACATCATGGTCGAGGTCATGTGTGGGTATGTGGTAAAAGGCACCAAACATCAAGGTCTAGGTCATGAGTGGGTAGGTGGTAAAAGACACCAAAGATAAAGGTGGGGTCATGTATGGGTAGATGGTGAAAGGCACTAAGCAGCAAGGTCGAGGTCATGTGTGGGTAGATGGTGAAAGGCACCAAACATCAAGGTCGAGGTCATGAGTGGGTAGGTGGTAAAAGGCACCAAACATCAAGGTTGAGGTCATGTGTGGTTAGGTGGTAAAAGGCACCAAACATAAAGGAGGAGGTCATGAGTGAGTAGGTGGTAAAAGGCACCAAACATAAAGGTGGAGGTCATGTGTGGGTAGGTGGTGAAAGGCACCAAACATCAAGGTGGAGGTCATGTGTGGGTAGGTGGTAAAAGGCACCAAACATCAAGGTGGAGGACATGAGTGGGTAGGTGGTAAAAGGCACCAAACATAAAGGTGGGGATCATGTATGGGTAGGTGGTGAAAGGCACCAAACATCAAGGTGGAGGTCATGAGTGGGTAGGTGGTAAAAGGCACCAAACATAAAGGTGGGGATCATGTATGGGTAGGTGGTAAAAGGCACCAAACATCAAGGTGGAGGTCATGAGTGGGTAGGTGGTAAAAGGCACTAAGCAGCAAGGTTGAGGTCATGTGTGGGTAGATGGTGAAAGGCACCAAACATCAAGGTCGAGGTCATGAGTGGGTAGGTGGTAAAAGGCACCAAACATCAAGGTTGAGGTCATGTGTGGATAGATGGTAAAAGGCACCAAAGATCAAGGTCGAGGTCATGTGTGGGTAGGTGGTAAAAGGCACCAAACGTCAAGGTGGAGGTCATGTGTGGATAGGTGGTAAAAGGCACCAAATGTCAGGACTTTATAGAGTGGAGGTAAAAGGTCATCAAATGTCAGAGTAGAAGTCAAAGGTCAGCAAATGTCAGAGTAGAAGTCGTAGGTCAGTAAATGGTTCAAAGGACAATGGAGGTTAGTAAATGACAATAATTGTTAAGATATATTAACTGATCAGTTTTCCATACATGATATACTTAAAGCTTGTTTATCTGTTATCTGCTGCCCCAACTTGTTCTGAATCTTTTTCCCTTTCAACACTGGCCAATCTGTTATCACACCGATGAACCAGATGATACAGTTGTGGGATCGCACAACGTTACACGATGTGCGGTGTGCGCACGATGTGTGCACGGTGTGTGAACGGTGTGTGCACGATGGGCGAACGATAAAAAGCTGTACAATCATTGCTTGCGCACATATGTGTTCACGATGGACGGACGTTGTGCGATAACAATCGTGGTTGGTGTAAATTGAGGAATGCCTTAACAATTTATACTGTTTCGTGTTTAAACATATACACATGATATTTACGTATGTTTCTATGTTCTAGCAACATCTATAAACTTTTCTTTCTGTCTATAAATTCTTATGTTTAGAAATTGTGTTTTCTGTGTTTCTAAACAAACTTAATCGACGCATGTAAAATTACAACACAATCCCGTATACAGGTAAACATAACCACTTTGTACATGTACCTGGACCGTAGTTTTCCTCCCGCCTGGGGCACTTACGTAACTCGTCGGGTAAGGCCGGGGGTGTGAAAATCCAGTTGAAGGGGAGCTATATAGGCAAACGAATGCAAATAACAAATACTATTTATTACGGCCAAACGGTATCGCCTATCAGCTCTGTGTGTCAGGCACTGGTCAGGTAACTCCGGACACTCATAAAATTGTTATTTACCTGTTCTGTAACCTTGGAGCCAAAGCCATTCTTGACAGCCTAACGGTCGCTGTAAGACTGTGTAACACGCATTGTGAAGTTGTATAATCTTGATTATTGTGATGAGACATTACAGATATATACACAGTGTACATAATCGCTTACAAGCCTTCCGTATTTTTGTCATTCCGTAATTTTGATCTATAAATGATACCAAATCGCACAGTTGTGCACACCATGTGTGGACGATGTGCGGACGGTGTGTGAACGATGTATCCACGGTGTGCGCACGCTGTTTTTGGTGCGTTGTGCGGTCCCACAACTGTATCTCATTATATATTTTTAAGGTATCACTTAAACCCTTTAGTTGGCTCAATCATCAACAGATATTGTCTTATGACCTTTAATGTTACTTGTTAATGTAAAATCCCTTATAAATTTATAGGAATGTATTTTTGAGCAGGTTCTGGACAGTTTGGGTCGGTGAAAAAGGGAATGTGTTCAATACGTGGAGGTCAGACGATTCCTGTAGCTGTGAAAACTTTGAAGAATGAAGATGTCTCCGGTCAAGCTGAGGTTAGTACACTCGAGATGTAGGTCACCCTTTTGTCACTGACATGGGTCTGTTGCTAGCAGGACTAGACTAACAATTACATTGGAGCACATTCAATTTATTCAGAGGCTGCCATTTCCAAAGAATGTCAGGAGTAATAATGAATTTACACAATTAATATTACAACAATTCTTACAAAAGCAAAGATCCATATATATAGGTATATTAAGACATACTTTTTGGTTGTTAGTGTCTATACTGTTATTTCAAATCTAATGCTCTGACTGACTTGATTTTTGTGTATACTTCATTTTGTTACCTGTGCCTATAAGGATGGTATTTCAATATTAACAGTTATTATTTGAACTTATTTAATTGAAATGGGCCTCTTCTTGCCAAGATTTCTGAAGTTTATATTTTCAAGTGGTTTAAAGAAAGTATTAATTAAAAGTTTGCAATCAGGTATGTATTTTATGGTTATTTTTGCCATTGTACTATCTATGTTTGAAATTATTGTGGCCAGGTAGTGAGCTGTGTTATCTTATCCTTTAACAGATGATGAAGGAAGCAGAGTTTATGAGTCAACTGACAAATCCTTACATTGTCCGAATGATTGGTAAATATGTGATTAATTTATAATAACTTTGATTCGTTTTATAGTGGATTTTGTCTGTTAACACAATTTACCAGATTAATCACTTCTTGTCATGAAACATGGTTTCTTCATGTGAAAAAAGGATAAGATTCATAAAAGTACATACTATATGTACAGTACATATTAAATATGCAAATTCATAAGCAGCCAAAAATATTACGGTAAAGCATCGGGCTGGAGAGCCAAGGATCGTGGGTTCAAGCCCCAGTGACGGCACTATCATTATCACTATTCCTGGTCCTACTACATAACAACACTCATGTGTATACAACACAAAACCACACGTGTCTCATTGCTTTGTTTACTGTAAGAACTGCTTTGATTTGGTCAGGTGTGTGCAAAGCTGAGAGTATCATGCTTGTCCTGGAATTATTGCCCTGCGGGCCTCTCAACAGTTATTTAAAACAGAATAAGTAAGTAATAGTACCTCATTATGGATGGTGAGTTTGTCTAACAGTAAGTCCATGTCCCAGCTCTGATTTACTCAAATAGGTTTTACATACCAGAGTTGTTAAAATATAGAGTGTATCACCAAACCGTCATTTTTTTATTCTTTGAAAATTCACAGGGTGAGTTAATATTCATTTATGTTTAAACCAAAGCAAAAATATTGATTGGCATTTCATATTGAAAACAACAAAAAGCAAAATAAATAAATAACTAAATAACAACGTACATGTCTGGGTTACATAGATGTCTGGATTATAAGTTAAGATCATGTCATAAATCTTTTTTTTTATAAACTTTATATTTTTTCAAAGAAAAACAGATTTTCGTACTTTTAACCTTTGTAATCAACAGAGACACACCACAATGGAATGTGTGTGAACTCATGTGGCAGGTTGCGGAGGGTATGAACTTTTTATCTGGCAAGAAGTTTGTTCATCGAGATCTTGCTGCCAGAAATGTACTACTAAGCAATCGACACACAGCCAAGATCAGTGACTTTGGGATGTCAAAAGCATTGGGCAGGGAAGGAAATTACTATGAGGTATGCTGTTTCTGCCCACTCTTACTGTTGAAGATTGAAGTATTAAGACAATTTTATGATGTTCTCATTGGTTGATGTTTGAAGACAATCTAATTTGGTAGTCATTAGTTGATTGTTTCTGAACATTTTTTTTGTACTCTTAAAGGTTGATGTCATATGACAATATAATGTTTTCTTACACTCTTATGAAAAGAGAAAAAGGCTTAAATATATATATGCTGGCAGTTAGCGAGGTTGCAAATAGAAAGAGAGGCATTGTATTGAGGTTTTACTGCACTTTTCTTTGATTCTATATTTTAACAATTTGAAAATATACCAGATGTAAGTTTTGCTTTAGCTGGTTGTTTAGCTAATTATTCTTTGAAAATCATGGGCCCTAGTCTGTGTTATAAAGTGTTGCGTGTAACCCACATGGTTTCCTGTGTATTTAAGAAGGTAAATCTAAAGGTGTACCTGAGGCCAAGTAAAATGAAATATTCTAGGGATTTTTAACCTCCCACCTAAACAATTTTATCTCCCTCGAATGCACTTAAACATCCTGTTTGAATGCGCTTTATCACACCTGTCTATTTCATAGGCAGGTATTAATACCAAATTTAAATCCCATATTATTATCTAAAAGGCCTAAAAATGAGAAATGATGAATACAATTGGTCTGAATAACTATGTTTGGTATATTTTGTAATTGCCACAATAAGCCCCCTCCCCCCCACCCCCC